TTTTTTGTCGTTACATCCATTTGGGGTGGATGTACATATTCATGTTCTCGAGGGTGTGGGTGTGTTAGTAGAATGATTTTTTCTTAATGAAAATCAAATCAAAAGCTAGCAAGACGCGTTTCGATTACAGCTAAAGTAATCTTATCAATTGCTGATGATTTTGTTAGCGATGTTAATAATTTCTCCTACTATGTTTTAATCAATTGAAAACAGATCAATCTATTGTTAGGATCCTTGTACCTTTATTTAATATATGTAATTAGGAGACAAGTACCTAAGCTTATCACCACTTTTTATTCACTTTCTTTCACAACAATAACAACAACAAAAACTAATAATACAAACATATATGTATATGTTAGATAAGGAGGAACGAGAACAAGGCGAAGGATCGTCCATCTATATATTATAGATGGCGATCCTAACACCTCCCCCCCCCCCCCCCCCCCCCCCCCCGCCAACACCAACACCAAAAACAAAAAAAAAAAAAAAAAAAAAAAAANCTAGCTTTTGATTTGATTTTCATTAAGAAAAAATCATTCTACTAACACACCCACACCCTCGAGAACATGAATATGTACATCCACCCCAAATGGATGTAACGACAAAAAAGAAACGATAACACAATGATAACAAAAAAATATAAAAACAAACAACAAACAAAAAACTATATCAGACAAACATATCGGACGGCAATAACTGTTCGTATAGATGTTTATGCCCATCGGACTTGACACCAATATAAAGTACTGAATGAACCACATGGATATTGGTATATTTAATATGATTTTCCCGTAATAATTTTTTAATTGATGTAATCTTCATATTTTCTGGACGTATTATTTCATAATTGTAACGATTTGCTCGATGGCGATGACTAGTTTTTGTATTTCGTTTTTTCTTGGCAATTGATGATCGTTTATGAGAACGAGGTACAGTTGTTGAGACAAGTGCTGGTGCTTCTGTTTCGTGTTGATGACAATCCAGCTGAATACTGTGCAATGGGGATTGATGGCGTTCATTTGGAGCATGAACGGCCACCAACTCGGTGTTGTTTTGTTCAGAAGAATATGAACTGTCTTCACTTAGCTGAAATATATCTGACACAACGGTTAAAGTATTAGATAAAGTATACTCGCCTGAAGTTTGCTGTTGCTTGTGTACATAATTCATATCAAGTGGAATTTTTGATTGTTGCATTATGAAATTGATATGTGCGACAGTAAGACAATCGAGACAAGCATACTTGATCAATTTTTTACGATAATTTGATGAGAATGATCTATCACATGTATATAATGTTTCATCTAATCCAATAGACCATTGCCGTAAAGTTTCACGTTTGGATAAATATTGTCCAAACGTGTAAACTATTGCATCTTGCAAACTCCATGTTTCACCGGAATAAAATTTTTTGTTGTTCATTAATTGTGTTGGCAAGAGCAGGGTTGGATCATATGTAGGTGCATCAATGATTACTATATCATTTAAGTCATTATCTATATTATCAGCTGGTAAAGAATAATATTTTTTAATCCATTGATTAAACCAAGGCTTAAATTGTACCTGCACTTGATGAAGATAAGAATAAATAGGCATAGAAAAAATATCATAAATTGTAAAAGGATTCAATTCTTTTCGTATATCGCCCCATGTGAATAAATGAGAATCATTGCAAAAAATACTTTGAAATAATTGTTGAATTTTAAAAAATGTAGGTGAAGAAGTAGCAGGTAAAAACTGCACTTCAACAAGTAACATTGGTGATTCAACATCAGGTGGTTGAATATATAAAATTTGTATAAGAGCCGGGTCATTAGATCCATAATTAGATTCCGTGTCAATAGCAAAACATTTTGTATGTTGACTGGAATTAATTAAATAATTTAAATCTTCCAAAGATGTTAATTCATGAAGAAAGTAAATTCGGTATTTGTGAACTGGTTCATAAGGTGGTAATGATGATTCATACGTTAGTTCTTTATCGAATTTATTTTCACGACGACGTTTGTTCCGAATACTCTTAGACGACATAGTGATACAAATAAAGAATATGTATATAACGAACAAGAGCGTATAACTATAAACAATAATAAGTATATAATCAAATAACAAGAAACAAACTTAATAAACAAAGTGTGAACGAGAGAGAAACAAAAATAAACAACATAAAAAATAGTTAAACTTAATGTTTACCAAATGGCAACAATAGATATGTATCAATGAAACAAATAACTAGACATAGAAGTAAACAAACATAATGGTCAACAATGTCCACTGGAAAAAAAAATACAATAAATAATAAGGTAGAGAAAAAAATGAAGTTGATGAGAAACGATGAAACAAAATAACAAATGGTTTAATTTGAAAAGTTGATAAATCTATAGCTAATATAGTTGTAAACGTATAAATGAATCAGATCAAATATATAGTAGTAATAGCACATAAGTGAATATGTTACGAACATATAATTAAATAATAGAAAAAAATATAACCGAAAAATAATAAGCATCAAGACTAAATACGTAGATAACAAACTAGAAATAAATAAATAAACAATAATAATAACAGAACGCGATAATCTCTTGATAAGTGGACAAATCAATGGACAAATGACTAAATGCATGTGTTATACTTATCAACGATAAACAAATGAAAATAATAAATGACGTAACGTGAGATGTACTGTATTTAACAATATAATTCATTGGACAATTGTTATTCACTATATCATACATATAATTGTGTATAGAATTATACATATATATGTATACATATATATATATTTTTTTTTTTTTTTTTTTTTATACTAATACATTAATGCGATTTTTATTCGTGATGAATTTGAATTTATATACTTAGGGCATACCAAAAGTAGTGAGAGTTCGAATTTTTTTNTTTAGGAACCATCAGGCAGATTTTTTTCATATATCAACACCTTTTTCTCTATGAAATTAAGTTCAAAGCACTAAGCAAATAAAAATATACATTGTTTTGTGTGATACAGATTCATGTCTTTGTAGTATTCTATGTATATTTCTAGTATGGTTTTGGAACTCTTATCGTACTCCCTGGATTTCCACTGTACTCCCAGGATTCCCATTGTACTCCCGGGATTCCCATTGTACTCCCCGGATTCCCACTGTACTCCCAGGATTCCCATTGTACTCCCGGGATTTCCATTGTACTCCTGGGATTTCCATTGTACTCCCGGGATTTCCATCGTACTCCCGGGATTTTTACTGGATTTTTCAGGGATCCGGAATCCCAAAAATCCGCCGTTTCCCCCTAGGTTTTACATATCTAGTATATCTACAGCAGATCTTACACACTATCATATTATGGGTGAATCCATGGGAAAAATACCATGATTTGGAAAAGTTTGTTTTGGTACTTGTTTTGGGTTCAATAGATAGTACCGAAGTAGAAAACATCTTTGGTCGAAAAAAATTAGGAACATGTTCATGAAATCTTCGAGATTTTGTCACATATTCCGGTACATGTCTGGGCAGGGTCTTGTACGGAGCTATTTCAACTAATTCTTCTATTTACCACCCCAGACTTATTGATATAGTATTTTACTTTGAAAAATCTTTGAAACAGGTTAGTTTTCGTTCGTCGAAGCTTTGCCGTGACAAGAATGGTAAGCACATATAGTGCTTTATATACACTTCTTTAAGGAAAACTAAAGATTTTCTGTGAGTGAACGCAAGAAAACTTGACAACGTCATGCACGATCTATTCTCACTGTTGAGATAAGCGTTTTAAAGAACTTTTTATGACATGCGATATTGATTCGTTGTAATTTATTTGATCCTGATTGTTGGTGTAAGGATACATTTTCGACAGGAATAGTTAAATCTTGTTCGAAAAGGTAACGCGATCATTATTTGGAGATATTATTCAAATAAAAATGTGATAAGCATGTAACGATATCTGTTCCGCGGAGGAACGTCCATAATATGTGTTCGCGCAGAACGAATAGAATTGAAATGAATCATCAAAGTGGATCCGATCGAAGACCTACTCGTTCACCGGCTTACATAAAAGAAAAAGAAAATGCTGAGAAGAAAAGTTTGCGAACATTCAACATGACATATCGACTCTCTCAATGCACCAAAAATTCAAAGACCAGTTTCTTTACGACTTGATCAATTTATGCGTGACCGGTATGGTCTCGGTGATGTTAATGTCAGTGGACTCTGTGCGAAATGCCACGCATTCGAAAGCAAGCAGATGGCAGAAGATGGAATGATGGATGTCGAAGAGAATATTAGTTCAAATGATGATGAAGAAGAACAAGACGAAGAAAAGAAGAAGATGATGATTATGATGATGATAACAACAACGAAGATAACGACGACATTAGTGATGAAGAAGAAAATAGTAATGAAGACGAAAGTAATGATGATAATTCACTTCATGAACTAACCTATCAGCAAGAAGAAGCAATGGAAACATTATCCAATGTTTTTCGAATACTGAATATGAGCCCGATTCATGATCAGTGAGTTCACAAATTTCTTCTAACTCTTTAAAAATGTTTTTTTTCAAGATCCAATGTTGCTCCAATCCGTCGTCAAATCGATCAGGTGTACACCACCCTTCATCAACTGTGTAATGTTCTTGAAGGAAAAGTCAGCAGCTTGACACAAGTGAAACCTCATAAACTTCGTATTGAGGAATCGAATGAATTAATCACAGGGCTAAAGAAGTTATTCAAGGAGAGCAATGCAGCTGAATAGGTGTGACTGATGACTATTGCACCAAAAACGTGGGGTCGTAGCAAAGCCGAAAAATGGTGCGTAGATTGTAAACGTCCTATTTATGTTTCTAGTTGTGAAACTAATTTTCTGTACTTTTTTTCTCTTAGGTTTCAATCAACGGAGCATCATGTACGTCAAGTGATTCAGCTTCAAGACAATAATAATGTTCTCGCTTTTTCTCAATATCTCCATGGAAATCTAGCAGTCTCTCCAGAAGGAATCAGCGCTGTCATCGAATTCTATCGGGAAGATGACATTAGTCGTGTGTCGGCGAATTCCAAGGATGTCATTCAAATCAATAAGCAACCAGTAGCTGTTCGCTTCTTGGAAATGACTGTCCTCGATGCTTTCCGAGAATTCGACAAACGCCATCCTCGTCTCGTTTGACGCTCAAGTTTTTATTCTTTCCGGTCTCGAAATGTCAAGATTGCCTCACCTGATGAAACATGTATGTGCATATATCACGAGAATATGCATTTGTTACTACAGGTGCGTAAAGTTGTCATCGTTTGATGATCAAATATTTCAAAACTTTTTATAGAAATGGAACGAAAACTGTCAACGAACATCTAAGAAATCCTCTACTTCAACAGTCGAGAAATTTACGATGAATAATCTCATCGATCGAATGATATGCCGTATTGCGTCAGAAGATTACTACATTGGTGAATGTGATCAATGTCCACCAGCACAACTACAAAACCTTCTCACTGAACACATTGCAATCGACCTTGATGACGACTGTTCGTGGATTATTTGGAAAAAAGTGAACAACAAATTCGATCTTCAAAAAGTGACAGGTTCTCTCGACTCTCTTCTATGTGAAATGGAAGAGCAATGGCCTTGTTTTCTTCTAGATACTTATTACAATCGGCAACAGCGAGAATACATCACTTATCTTTGAACACAATCGACTGACAAGACCTTTATCACTGCTCAGATCAACTTCTCCATAAACTGCACCCCCGTTCGTCAGCGTGAAGTGCAACAGAGTTTCTTTTCTCAATATTAAGCGACCCTCTTTACTGTTCATCTAACCATCGGATCAGAACATCGAGATATGGCTATTGTTAGTGATTCTATGGAGCATACCACAACATTTTTCTATTGTGCTCAAAGTATAATCGTCAATTTTGTGAAGAAGTATTTTCCTCGTGTCAAAAAAATCAATTATTTAAGGTGAGTATTTTATACAAAATCTATTTTCACTTCTCACCCTGAACCATGAGGTTTTCATATTTTTCTCAAGAGAAAAACCGAACCGATACTCAAGACTGTGATAGAGAGACAATTTGCGATAACATAGTGTTAGGTTCTTCTTTCCTCTTAATCTTTATTTCGTGAAGAAACGCAATAAAAACCTAATTTCCTTGTACAAAAAAGGAAAACAAACAAAGAAAAACAAAAAACAATAATCTTCTAGGAGAATATACGAACAACAACTGAACATAGAAAAATGAGAGAGAGAGAGAGAGAGAAGAAGACGAATAAGGATCATCCATCTATATCTCTATAGATGGCAGATCCTGACACCTCCCCCATCCGCCAACTTACACAAACACACCATCAGGTATTAATTGTTCAAATAATTGTTTATCACCTTGATTCTTTATTCCAATATAAAGTGTTGACCGAATAGTATTGACGTTGGTGTACTTGATGTGCCAAGATCTTAATAATTTCTTGACATTTTTTATGTTGGTATATATTGAACGAGCAATCACAAAGTTGTACCGATTTTTCCGATGTCGAAGACTTGATTTAGCATTACGTCGTTTACGTGCTGCTGTTGATCGTTTGTGAAATTTTTCTTTAGAGCTGGGTAATGTCTGATGACGATCATTTATGTCATGACCAGTCATCACTAAATCACCATCGTCATCATCACTAATAATTTCAATATTATTATTACATTCAATATCATCAATAATTTCAACATCATTATGAACTTCATCTTGATTAATAAGTTCATCATCATCACTAATTATAATAGATGAATCATTTGTTGAATGTACCTGAAAAAGAGATGGTGGATCTGATATATCAAGAATAAGTTTATACTCCCCTAATGGTGGATCATTAAAATATTTAATACATGTAGTATTACTGGAAATGTTTGACTGGGAAATAAAGAGTAATAATTGAGCCATTGATAGACAATCATATACAGCATAGTTAACTAATTTATGACGATAAGAAGAAGAGAATTGTGGATCACGATTCGGAAGACGAGCATCAAGACCAACAGACCATTTCCTTAATGTATATTGTTTTGATAAATATTGACTAAATACATAAGCTATTGAATCTTGAAGGCTCCACAATTCATTTAATGATAATTTTTTATTGTTCATAAATTGTGCTGGAAGGAATAATGATGCATCAATTGATGGAGCATGTAGAATAATTGAATCAGGTGGACCATCGGATGAATCATCTGCATGTAATGTTGTTGCATTTAACCAATTATTAAACCAGGAAGCAAATCTTATTTGAGCATTATGTATGTAAGATAGAATAGGATAAGTAAACAATCCATATTCTAAAAATGGAAATAGCTCAGAAAGAAGTAAGCCCCAAGTATATATATGACTATCATAGCGAAAAATAGTATTAAATAATTGTTGAAGTTGTTGACGATGAGCTGATGATAATGATTCAATAAATTTTATTTCAATTAATAACATGGGAGATTCAACATTAATATCATTCATAAAATAAATCTGTATAATTGCAGGTGCATTTGTATACTTGTCCGACTCGGTGTCGAATATAAAATGTACTGTTGTTGATGCAAATTGTATTAAATGATTAATTTCATCTAATGTAATTAAGTTGTTGATGAAAAAGATTGAATGTTGATGAAGGTGGACATACGGTGGAAAAAGAGATTGATATAAATTTTCTTTTTCTTGTTTATTGATTTGGCGATTTTTGTTACGTTTAGATGTAGATGGGATAGATGATGACTGTGTATCAGACATTTGTTTTGATAATGAGTTATATAAACCTTTTACATAAGTACATAAACATTGATTAATATAAAAAATCTTTCACCGATTTGATCATCAATAATACTACTATAATATAAATATAATATTAACACCGGTTATAGGAGAAATAATTATAAATGAATACAACTTATGATGAATATAAAAAATGATAATAAACAAGTAAATAATCAAATGAATAATGTTGTAATGGAATGGTGACCATAAATGTCGTAAGTACATTCAATTAAATAATTGTTGTACATTGTTGGAGTATATCTTGAAAATGTTGATGTATTTGTTGGTTTATTTGCTACTTGTTTAGTTTAATAAAATGAGGTTAATCAAATTTTATAATTATATTAATAAAGGAGTAAATCATGAAGATAAACACGTGTCAGTAACTATAACTAATGAGTCGTAATCAACAATGGATAAGTTGTTCAATGTGACTAGATGACTTGTATTGTTGTTAACAGAATCATAGTTGTAGATAATAAATTATATGTACTAGAACAAAAAAATGAAAACAAAAATAAAAAATAAGCATAAGAAATAAATGTAATGTAATGTAATTCTATGAGATCATATAAAGTGAACAGCATATAATGCAACATAAATAATAAACAAAGGACAGTAATAACTATTTAAAGTAAACAAATAGATAAATGACCATAGATAATCTGACCAATGTTACGAAGCCTTTTTTTTTTTTTTTTTTTTTTTTTTTTTTTTAATAGGTGTCATTGTAAGATAAGTAATAGTCAGTAATAATGTACTTCTTTTTTTTATTAATCTATATAATTTGAATTAAAAGTACGTAATTGTGATGTATGTACTTGTATTATTTTATCACCATTTGGGTCTTGAATCCAATACGTTGGATGATCATGTTTAACAATTTTCATCGGATTGGAATACAATGCTAATAATTTTGAAGAATTAGTAGGTATTCGTTTAAGTACGAAATCACCTATATTGTAACGAATATCAGCACGATTTCGATCATAATAATATTTATAATTTTGTTGACTTTTAAGTATATTGTTTTTTGCTTGTTGATGATAAAGGTGTAACGTCTTCCGGAAATGATAAAAATAATCATTCGGTTTTGAAAATTCATAAATGATTGATGGTTCATCAGGTGGTAATTTAGGTTGACGTCCGAATTGTAATTGATATGGTGAAAATTTTGTGGTTGCATGTTGACCAGTATTGTATGCAAATACAATCGATTTTAAATGTACGTCCCAATCGTTTGTGTATTTGTTAGTTAATTTGGCTATTTGTCGTTCAAATGTTGAATTAAAACGTTCAATTGCACCATTAGTTTGTGGATGATATGGAGTAGATTTTATGTGGTGAATTCCTAATATTTGATTAAAAGCTGTTAATAATTGATTATTAAAATGTGTACCTTGGTCGGAAAGAATGGTTCCTGGTACACCATAAATACATATATAATATTCATATAAAGCTTCAGCTGCTGCTTGAGCAGTTTGATTTGATAAAGGAATTGCAATAACCCATTTGGTAAAATAATCAGTTATAGCTAAAACATATTTATTTCCTTGAGTAGTACTTGGGAATGGTCCTGAATAATCAATGCCAATTAGTTGAAATGGACCACTTGGTGGTTCAATAGGTTGTAATAAACCAGGAGGTTTACGACGATCAACGTTAAATTTTTGACATTTTAAACAACCTTGAATATAATCTTTAATGCTGGCTTTCATATTTGGCCACCAATATTTATTTTTTAATTTAAAATAAGTTCGTCTAAGACCAAAATGACCTGCCCATGGGACATCATGATAAGCACACAATAATTGTTTTAACATTGAACCAGGTACATAAATTAATTTTTGTGTAAATACACCACGTTTGATATTTTTATATAATACTCCATTTTCAAGTATATAAGAACATTTAGTTGGATCGTGATTTAATTCTTTTGTTTTTTCTTGATAAAGTTTATCTTCTTTTTGTGCTTCAGCTATAGTCGAAACGTCAAATTCATGACCTTCCTCTAGTTGAGGATGATCATCTAGCGATGACGTTTCTTCTGTAGATGAATTAGATTTAGTTGGAGTTATTGTTTGCCGTTGAGCTCTTGCTTGAGCACGTGTGGTGACTGCATTAATCATATGTAAGTTGGTTGTCACTTTATCATCCAATTGTTTATCGTCTCTTGAATATCGAACCGCAGGAATATAACCAAAATCAGCATCTAGAAATTCATCATCATCTTCCAATTGTCGTGGGTATCTAGTTAAATAATCAGCCATGCAATTACATTTACCTGAAATATGACGAATTTCTTTAATATTGTATTGTTGTAATATTAATGATATACGATCAACTCGACGATTGTTTGATGGTTTTAAATGCATATTACGTAATGGACAGTGATCCGTTTGAACAATAAATTCACAACCTTGTAAATATAATTTCATGCGTGTAACACAATAATAGATAGCTAATGCTTCTTTTTCAATTGTTGGCCATTTTCGTTGTAACTTTGGTAACATTTGAGAATAAAAATAAATATTTTTCCGTTCACCATTAATTTCTTGATATAATACACCACCAATGCAATAATCTGATGCATCAGTTGATAAAATGAGAGGTGCATTTGGATCAGGATAAGTTAAAAATAATGGTTCAGATGTAATAGCTGTTTTTAATTGATCAAAAGCTTCTCGTTGTGATGCATCCCATTTAAAATTGTGTTTATGATTTTTAGTTAAATTTGTAACGGCTAATATTGGTGTAGCTATCTTTGCATAATCTTTAATAAATTTGCGATACCACCCAATGGCACCTATAAAAGCATTAGCTTGATTTAATGTTTTTGGTTGTGGAATAGCTAAAATTTTTTCGATACGTTCTTGTAATGGTTTAATACCATGAATGCTGATTGTATGACCTAAATAATCAATACATGTTTTTACTAATTCACATTTTTGTGGATTAAGTTGAAATTTATGTTTATTGAGAATAGCTAATACTTGATTTAAATGATCCATGTGTTGTGTAAATGAATCAGAATATATTAATATGTCATCCAAATAAACTAAGCAAAATTTTTTGCATGGTGATAATAAAGTTGACATTATTCTTTGAAACGATGGAGGACTGTTTTTTAGACCTTGTGCTAAAACGTTGAATTCGTACAGTCCATGAACAGTAATAAAGGCCGTCTTATGTTTATTTTCTTCACGAATAGGTATTTGAAAATACCCTGAACGAAGATCTAATTTTGTATAATATTGATGACCACCAACCATTTGTATAGCTTGTTCATGGTTAGGCGGTGGGTAGTTGTCTTGAATTGTAATACTATTTAATTTTCGGTAATCGACGATAAATCGGTATGAACCATCACGTTTTTTAATTAATAGAACAGGTGCTGAATATTGAGAATGTGATGGACGTATTTGTTTATGTTTTAACATTTGTTGAATAATATCAAATGTTGCATTTTGTTTTTCAATCGTTTGTGGATAAGGTTTAGAAGTAGTTGGTGGATTATCTCCTGTACAAATTACATGAGCTGTTGATGTTTCAGCAATTTTTGTTATTGTTGTATCAAATAATGGATGATGTTTCTTCAAAATAATTGTTAAATCATTTATTTGTTGTGGATTTTCTATATGTTTTAATAAACCTCGAATGTTTTGCTCACTATTTCCTGTTACAGAATTTGTATAATTCTGATCATAATTTGTTCTTGTATGTAAATCAAAAATTGTTGAAATATTCATATCAGACTTTAATAATGTTGCAGTACCAATAAGAATATTTTTATGTAAATAACAGGAGTTAGATGTTGGATTATAAACTGTGATCCACGTTACATAATTTTTTATAGTAATTAATGAATGTGGTATAATTAAACCTTGTATTCTTGTAATACTATAAGTAGGAGTAAATAATAATTGACCTGACGGTACTTGACACAAAAGTTTTATAGATCGTTCTTGATATGGTTTTAAAGATATAAATTGTGCTAGACGACATAATTGTTTTTTTCTTATTTTTGTTAAATAATGTTCCATAGGTAACGTAATTTGCCCTGAGGATGTATTAACTTGAATTTGTTTGATGTTGTTATTGAGAGTAACTTTATACTTATTAATATAATCCATTCCTAGAATACAGTCAATACATAAAGAGTTAACAACACCAACTATTATATTAGTTTTGATATTATTTAATTCAATAAAAATTCTTACTGTACCAATAACTTCAAATGTTGAACGACCATCTGCCATGATATAATGTTGTTTATTTACGTGAATTGGTAAATGTTGTGTACGTTTTAATACGGTTTGATTTATGAAAGATTTTGTTGATCCAGAATCAAACATAATTCTCATATTAATTTGATTAATTTTTGCATGAATAAAAATTGGTGATGGATTTTTTACGGAGTTGCAGGAATCGCCACCACCTTGCGGCGATTCCTCTATTGAAAATGTGGGCAATTACGAATATAATGATCATTTCCACCACATTTAAAACATTGATATGGTGGTTTTGGTATTGCTTTATCATATGGAGCTTGAGTTGTTGTTACATGGTTAGATTTTCGTGTTAAATTCATGTTGTTAGATCCTAATTTATAACGGACATCATTATAATTTGACTCTTGAGGTGTAAATGATTGATGAATCTTCTGCTGTTTATTTTCTGCATCGATTAAGTTGTTTGTTAATAAGATTGTAGATTTTTGTTTATCGAAACATGTTAATGCATCTTGTTTGTCTTCGAACGATTTCAGTTCTTCAATCTTTTGTGCATATTCTAAAAACTCTAATGTAGTTTGTGGGTTTTTTAATGATACATCAAAACGTAGTGAAGGTTTTAAACCATCCTTCAAGTATTGTAATTTACTAGCATCGTCCATTGATGGATTTGCTTCTTTACATAATTTCATAATATCAAAATAATATTGTCGTACGTCTTGATTGATACTTNATAGATCTTCATCTCCTCTTTCGAATGGTGAAAACCACAGTTCTCTATCTTGTTTTTATCAAAAGGTATTTGAAAAATACTCATTCGTATTTTTTAAAATGAGTATTATTATAACCAGCACATAAGATCACAACACAGATCTTATCGAAATTTTATTATTATGATATTAGTTGAAGTATGATCAAATAGCATAGAAAAATAGAGCATTCTTTCCTCTATCGTACTATGCAGAGAGAAAATTTCTTTAAGCTTATTATAAGGCATTGAAGCGCTACTGCCACTACTTTTGGATTGCCCTAAGTATATTAATATCAGCCAATGAATTAATTCCGAAAAAACTCAAGTACTTATGAAGTGCCTAAAGAGAATAAAAATATATTTGAATATTAAAGTTGTAAAATATTAAATCAGCCTTTTATAGACTGAAAAAATTCTAAGAGAAAATATTTCTAAAAATATTTATTGATTAAAGACCATAATGGATTTATGTTAAGAGGCTTCACTTCACAAATAAGTAGCCAAATACTTTTTATATTTTTTCGACATATATATAATATATATAAAGACAATAAAAAGTCTCTTTAAATTAATTGCATCTCATAAAAATATACCTTTTGACTGTATGTAACTATACTTAATATAATGAAAAAAATCAAGCAATACTGTGTCTGCGTATAAGTAGTATAGCATAGGATAATACTAATAAGCTTACATTTAAAGTATTTTCAGCCGTGTTTTTTTTTCGTATTCAAACGGTTTACAACACAGATCGATCGATTTATAACAATAATCATTGTCGACGATTATTACACTCACACCTAAATAAGAAATTTTTTTATGTAAGTCTGTCGAATAATCCGGACAGATTGTTAATGAATTTTCTTGTAGAGAACTTGATAAAAGTTCTTTAATTTGTTCACGTGAATTATCAGCAAATGAAATAACATATCGTGATATGGTTTTTTCACCACGTAAAATTTCATTAACATCGAATGCACCGTATATAGAACCTAATAAAGAAATAAATCAGATTATCAATTATATATCTTTGTTTTCTTACCCAATCGAATACATTCTTGTGCTAAACGTCTAAAATCATCATCATCGAATATGCTGAAGGGCCTAATATCACCGCACACCCATTCCACCGATAAATCTTTCATTCTTCTAATGTCTTTTTCATTAAATTTTATAGATTTGGTAAAACCCATTTGATTTAAAGTTACTTGTGTTGATATAGATGAGGATGAAGTAAAACTGATTGATCATGATGAAGTTGTTGATGATGGTGATGATGTCGTTGTTGATGATGATGATATTGTTGCTGTAATATTCAATATGGGAAAGCATTTATCAGCATGCTCTTTGTAACGTTTGGTACCACTTAACTTGTTGTAAATTTGAGTGTTCTTGCATTTATAACAACTGATAAATCCTTCAATTCTTTGAAACTCCTTATTATCATTTAATTGTGCTGGATAACCAAAGGCTCTCCACCATTTAGCAGTTGTTGGATGTTCATTTTTTCTAATTTGATATTGAGATTTTTCAAACAAGAGGCAATGTTTAATCGTCTCGGCCTTGAACTGGTTCATATTAATAAGACGATAAATTAAAACATAAAAATTAGAAGATATAATTAAAAGATATGAAGAAATTGAGCATTGGAAAATACTAAAGTTTTATATGAAATATGTCGTGCAAGAAGAAGTACATATCTGAAATTATTTACAAAAAAGAATCCATTAACAAATCAAATAAAAACGGTAACTTGTTCTATACAATTCTGCATTATTCTAAAATGTATTTTAGTCTTCTTTAAATCATTTTTTCTTTGTATATACATAATATATATTATATCTTTAAATATAAATATATATAAATGGATTATATAATATCCAATGAAGAAAACAGAAATTGTCGCGAGCAGATATAATCGCAAAACTTACATTGATTAGCGTATAACGACATCTACTGCAATTTCTCATCATATGAACGTTATTAAATGAAAAGTTTCTCTCAAGTAATTGTCTACAAAATGAAAAATATCAGGGCAAAATTTTTTGCCCTGCCCTGTGACGGTCTCTGATAGTTATACAAGAAACGAAGATTGATTGATAAACTGACCGTTCACTAGCAATGATGTTGAGCACGACAACTATTAAGTATGATGATTAGAGAAACATGTATACTTGCTTATAGATGGAGAAATAATTCATTAACGATGATTCTTTGTTAAAGAGACCTATATATCATATTAAAACTGCAAAGAAATACGAGAGAATTTAACATCAATATAGAAGAAGACGATCACCTTGAATAAATTTCATTAAACGCTAATATCGGAACACAATACTTCTGGACTTGGTCATTAGAATGCTTGATAGATATTAGAGATGTTACTTTTGTTTTTATAAATCTATTGTCTGCTTTGAGTTGAAAAGCTCTTTCAAACATCCAAGTATGATGATCAAATAATGAAAAATTCATTGCAGGATGAATCATTAAACAGATTATTCCTCAATTTGAATTTGAGATCAAAGAACTATAGTTTTCTATTATGTTTTATGTTCAAGCATTCGTATTGTCAATCAACGAGAAGACACTGGTAACGATCTTGTATTAGTTATATATTTATCGAGTCTTGTTCAAACAATAATTGATTTTAATATTGAGTTTTTCTCAATGAAATTATTACTGAAAATTCAATAAATATCGAAAAATGAGATATTTTTCATTTCGCTTATCATCATATTGTTGCTAATTTATTTGTTAATATGTCTATCGGTATAACTCATCTTCTTCTAAACAAATCATTGCTCGAGCATTTAATTAGAAATTTAAATGGTTTTATCATCAAATGTATACTATCTGGATTGATAGATTCTAATGACATTGATCAAGTTTTGAGAGTATTTGAATCATCAAGTCCACTTGTAATTTCGTTTCATTTTCAATAAAGTGACTGTTTTTCTTTGTTTTGTGGATTAATATTTAAATAAAAATAAAAATATGAACTATACAAAAGTGCCAGAAGAAAACTCTTTTGAATCGTATATAAGTTATTGTGGTTACAGGTTCATAAATCCAATGATGCAACCTTAAAATGAGTTCGTACTTTTCATAATAATGCATTCGAAACATCTTTCAATTATATCAGCAACCAGACCATGATTTTCAGTTGAAATTTAATATCAATAGAAGCTTTTTTCGATCAATAGAATAATAATCTTCAATTGCCGTAACATTATTCCCACTTAATTGTATAAGTTCCGGCAGTTTCTTCTGACAACAATAAAACTATTTCAAATATTTCTTCAATATGTAATAAACTGTTGCCCTTGCAATGTCTTGCTTCATAGAAAAATTAACCGTTGGATGATAAATTATTTTCTCCTATACTGATTTTATTCTGTCATATTTCGACATCTTTACTCAAAATGTCATAACCAGACAGGATGATTGTTCAATTTTTAGGTCTTATTGAATACAATTTATTATCAACCATGTATTAGCATCATACGTAATGCTTTGAGATATTGTTATTTTTTATTAGTTCATATCTATTTGTATCATCTAAAATCCATTTTCACCAATAGCCATAATAGCATAAACATGCATACCATATCTACACTCAATAGTATGTTGTTTCAATTAGAATGCAAATTAGGTATTTTTAATTTTATAATTAATAAATAGGAGAATACAAATAGATATGTAATAAAAAAATTATCAACATCTCATAGCATTATGTATACTCCTGATATATAGTTAATAGTTACTTATATTCAACAAGGTCAAAAAATGAACATCATCCTGTCTGATATATTTTATTTGGGAACGGTACACTGCCCATTTAGAGAAATATTTTCTTATTTAGCATTGCAAAATCATTGTGTGAGTGTTTTCTTGTATCATTTTCTTAATGAATGTATAATCAAATTAATTTATATCCAATTTGAAAGAGGAGAAAATTTTTTAGCAGCTGTTTAAAAAAATTATCGTTTGAACATGTGTTTCGGCTTGTCCACGTAACGCGACACTTCGCTGATCAAGTTTCGAAAAATTTCTTTTCGAGCTGGATAGATCTGAATGACTTAGTAAACGCTGCTTTTAATGCTGATTGCGAATTTGACATTTATTTCGTACAAAAATTAGAGTTTTGCATTGAAGACCGCGTTTTAAACTTTTCAAAAATCGTATTTTGAATTTTCTAACAAATAAATTTTTCCAAAAAAAGCCAAGGGACATACCATTCGATGCAAAATTTCATTCTGTATAAAATGGTCTACTTAGCTTTGACTTTCGTGGGTAAGGACAATTTTCAAACTCTGATACAATTTCCAAGTTGCTGAGTCTCTTGTGAGCTTCTATGTCGAGGTATCAATCTCGTTCTTGTGTAGAACGATTAGTTATACAAAAAATACTAACACTTATAAAAATCAAATCGTTCCAATCATGTTAAGTGTCTCACAATTGGTCGACAAAAACTGTGTCACAGCGTTACGTTTGTTTTTTGCATTTTTATCTAAGCAAAAATAGTTTAGAGAAAATCTTTTTTTAGCGTTTAAGAGCCCGTTCAAAGCTCACAAAACTGGCTCTAGAAGTTTTTCATTTGGAGAAATATTTTCACAAGAAATTACAGCTTTATTAACGGCTCTGAAGAAAAAAGGGTCTTTTTATGTCACAGTGTTACATGAGCAAAAACTTTTTCTCAAAGCTCGAGACTGTTATCGAAAAAAGTCGTTTTTACCACATAAATAGAGTTTGACAAGCTGCTTCAAATGACGTTTGAACGAACTTTCTAGCTCTCAGAGTTTCAGAGATAATGCAAAAAAGTGTGTCAAAAACGTCACAGCGTTACGTTTGGCCAAGCCGAATTTACCAAAAAGATATATAAGTTGATATTTTATACTGTTGTTCTATAGTGGCGGACACAAGTTTAGAGCGGTGGCATTTTAAAGTTTTCTTCTCAATAGTAATAGCTAGCAAGAATCTGAAAAAACACTATTAGCGTAGCTAGAAGGATTCTTTATCAGGATTGATAAACCTGAAGCCATCAATAAAACTACTTCGATGGATATCTTCGAAAAATCAGCTTTCGTGCTTTTTATTCTAAGCTTTCTGGAAAACAGTAACATGAAAAGCTTCTAATGAAAGCCAGAAAATTGGTTTTAGTTTTTTTGTGAAATCTCATCTAAACAGTTTTGTTAAAGCCTTCAAATCACCTGATACACAAATGTTTTTTCAGACTCTTGTTAACTATTATTATTAATTTGTAAACTACTTCGCTTTTCTGTTGTGCTATTTTTTGTTTATGAATATATGCAGAAAAAAAATTCTCTATCTTCTTATACAAAATAAATAAAAATGATTTGAACAATCAATTGCCCAAACTACATTAAAAAAAATGTTTGATTTATCTAAAACTTTTTTATCGGATATTTCGTTTATTCATTTTCTTCTTCTTGTTTTATTTTTCTAATCATCTTCATTATAATGGAAAGGAATAAAATAAAAACATTTATTTATTGTTCACGCATATAACATAAACGACGTACAGCCGAACGTATAACAGCAGCTGTTAATGTTGAATAAACATAAGCACCATCGACTACTATTTTTTGATATGAACGACATTTCCATATACCAACACATTTTCGTTCCATATTATCTTTACCACAAAATGAGCAACTATATTTTGAATGTTGTGTAACTTCCATATTTTTAACCATTTTATGCAATAATGCACCATAACTATATTCAAAAAATAGAAAACAATGATTAATAAACCATAAACATAAATTCTATTTACCGTGTACCATATTTTCCAACAATGCCAACTTTTTTAGTTCGTTTAGCCATTTGATTTTAAAGTTCTCTATCAAACGAAGGTTAATATGAAATCTGTTCCAGTTGAAAAAAAAGATTCTCTAATTCAACTTTTCTTGTTCTGTACAAGCAAAAATTAAAACAAAAAATAGTCTTTTTTTCTTTTGTGCATCATCTAATGTTAATATTGGTTGATCAATACGATAAATATCATCAGCAAATATTTCTTCATCTAATAATTTTTCATTATGATCATCAGAATAATATGTTGAAAATGGTGGATGATTTGTTTCCGTAAAATTTTTTTTTTCGTTCATATAATGTTGAATCTTATATACGCATAACCATGCTTAGGATCAGGTACAGCTGGATCCATTAAATAAAGAACATTATATTTTGTATTTATACGCCAAACATTTAAACCTTTCATCATAAGTAATTTATAACCCATTAAACCAGCCATACGTTTACCGGATAATATTTTATGTTTACGACCAGCACCAACTGTACAACGTTTACGATGAAATTTTGCTGCACCATATTTATCACATGGACCACCACGAAAATCATAATGACGCATAACACTCAATAATTAGAGATGGATCATTCATTAGTTTATCTAGATTAGCTGACAGAGTTTTTAAAAACAAAATGATTTCTTTTGCATTAGTAACATGACTAGAGATATGCGGGACTGGCATTAATGAGGAAATCACTCGTCTTTAAGAAAAAAGGGGTCAACGTACACTTTATTTTTGTTATTCACTTTCTCATGACCCGGACCATCAGCTCTCTAAATGCGACTTAAGTCATTAGGTAAGGCTTCTTGAGACCAGAAGAACTCTTCTCCTTGTAACAATTTTTTGGAGTTATGGCCCGTGTACAAATTTTTGTTAATTTTGGCAGTATACAGGGTAAACCAAAAGTCACTTTACCGAAAAAATAATTCGATATCTTCATTACGGCTCGAGCAAACTAACTAATTTTTTTAATCAATGTTAGAGGCATGCTCAAGCTTAAATATCCATAAAGACATGTCTAGAGACATCCTTTGTTAAGTATGTTGCTGTTTATCATCTGTAAAAAAAAAGTAAAATTCTTTTTGCTACGATCAATAGTGATACTTAACACAGGATCTCTCTAGGCATGTCTTTATGGATATACAACTTAAACATGCCTCTATTATTGAGAAAAAAATCAGCTCGTTTGCTCGAGCCGTAATGAAGATATTCAATTTTTTGTACGGAAAGCGATTTTTGGTCCACCCTGTATATTAATAAAACAACCGGACAAATGAATTTTGTCCTAAAACTTTGTCTACGAGTAGCTCATGAAGTCATTAGTGTATCGAAAAAAAATCATCTCAAAAGAATAGTGATATTAAATCCACAAAACACTGATATTTCATCAACAGCGACGGAACATCTAATTTTTTTTGTGGATTTGATATCTCGAGAAGAGACTATTCTTTTAAGCTGAAACTCGTTTGTTTCGGTTTATCTATAATTTCCGAGTACACGAAAAGTTTTCCTTTGCTCTTATAATGGAATGATAGGAAACCCATTTGTAAGAAAAATATTTTTAGAATCTGTGTTAGGTTTCGTAAATCTTTAGTTAAATAGTATAATAATAGCCTAAACCTTTTACAAAAAGAAAGAAAACAGTAAGCAAAACAAAACAAACAAATAACAACAAAAATAAAGAATCGACCTTAAATCATTATATCGAGATAGATCACAACTGTCCATCTATAATAGATGGTGGTCGTGACTAGAGATCTGCGTGACCAGGTTTTTTAGTCACGATCACGATCCACCTGGTCACGGTCACGATCGTGGTCACGGCCTACCTGGTCACGGTAATTTTTTTAAGCCAGTCACGGTCACGATCATATCTGCGAGGAATTTATGGATTCTGTAACAGTTAGAGTCATAGGCATGAAAAGACGTTAGTAAATAATGACCCAGGATGAAAATTACGGAGAGTTTCTCTCAGAAAAACACCGGAAATCGCTAGAGTAGGGAGAAGTATTTGAGCCGGAAACTTTCTAGACTCTTCCGACAGATTTCGATCTGCTTTCCTGCGCTTTTCAGCAACAGCTGACCGGAAAACTTCGGACCGGAAGACTCCTTTCAATATTTCTACGATTTTCCAGGTTTTTCTACAGGATACAGTCACTTTTCCAATATTTCGTACGGATTTCTATTGTAGCCGTCCATTGAAATGATTGATTCGAAGTCTACCGATGATTATCGTAATAAAAGATTTTTGATAAAACAAGATTGGCTTATAAAAATCGATTTAAATCTTATGATATTCGTTTTCGATACATATAAAGAGCTGTGTGAAAAAGTAGCAAGGAACTTACAGGTAAACAATGTTACTAAACATATCACTGAAGATTTAAATAACGTAAAAGGAGGAAAAAAGAAAAATGCTAAAGAAATGCATCTGGTGATAATACTTGTTCATATTTTTGCTGTAGGTGACTAGATTTGAGCCCAATATATAATATAGAATTAACAATGTTTATACTGAGGTATTCAATATTGAGTTGTTTTAGTTTTTGTTTGATAATTCGAATATTCGTGTTAACGGGCCTTTTTATTTCATGACTGTAACGATTTTTTCTATGACGAAGATTAGATTTTTGATTACGTCGTTCTCGAGATAATAATGACTATTTATGACATGTAGTCAAAGCTTCTGCAATATTAATATCTAAGACGCTGGAATATTGTTGAAATTGTACCGGCATAGAATCCAATGTTGATGGATGACGATCATCTGGATCATGACCTATTATCGAAGAACCAAGCTTTTCATCATCGGTAATCGAAAAACGTGGTGCTTCGTGTTTTGCAAATATCATATGAATAATGAAATTTAGTGTTCGTTCCGCCATATCAATTAAATAAGTAAGTTCATCAGGTGTAGCTGAATGGTTAATGAAAAATATAGAATAACAATGTATCGGTTGATATGGAGGCAATAATTGTTGATATGTACGTTCTTTTTCTTCTTTATTAATTCGACGATGTTTGTTTAGATTAGATTTTGATGAACGTTTGACTTTCGATGAATTATAAACCATATGGTATATCCTAGTTGACTAATGTTACAGGAACAAAAGAAACCAAAACAAACAAAGAAAGAAAATATATATGGACACGAAAAAAAAATGAATAAACAAATAGGTAGAGAAGTAAACACTAAATCACAGAATGGATAATCCGATTATGAATGGACAAAAGGAATGGACAAATACCTGAACGGATAACCATATTGTGATGTTGATAACATAATAAAATACATAGACGATGTAACATAATAATGACGATATATACGTGTATATGTATTTTTTTAAAAATCTTACATGGACGTAATTGAGGAACATGCGCTTGAAATATTTGTTGGTCATTTGGATCTTGAATCCAATATGTGGGATGTAGTTGTTTTGTAATAGTCATTGGATTAGAATATATAATCCCATAATTTTGACGGAAAACTTGTGAGGCGTTTGAGTACTTGATCGCCAATATTGTAATAAATATCGCGACGATTTTTATCAAAATATTTTTTTTATGACGTTGTTGATTGTTTTTCATACGTAGATGTGCTTGTTGTTGATAAAAATGTAGTGTTTGTTGAAAGAATTCAAAATAATCATTTGAATTTGAAAATTCATAATTTGTTGGTGATTTTGGGTTTCGACCAAATTATAGTTGATATGGAGAAAATTCTGTTGTATTGTGTCGACTTATATTATATGCAAATGTAATTGATTTCAAATGTAAATCCTAATTATTAATATATTGATCAGTTAATTCAGCTACTTGACGTTCAAATGTTGAATTAAAACGTTCAATAGCACCATTTGTTTGAGGATGATAAGGGATTCATTTAATATGATGACAGCCCAATAGCTGGGTAAATGCCGTCATTAATTGATTGTTAAAATGAGGTCCTTGATCCGATAAAGCAGTACTAGGTATACCATAAATGCATATATTGCAATAACCCATTTCGTAAAATAATCAGTAATAGCTAAAACATATTTATTTCCTTGAGGAGTAACTGGAAAAGGGCCTGAATAATCAATTTCAATTAATTGAAATGGACATTAGGGTGGTTTGATAGAGTGTAATAAACCAGCAGGTTTTTTACGATCAATATTAAATCGTTGATATAACATACAAGTTTCAATATAATTTTTAATAGTAAATTTCATGTTTGGCCACCAATATTTATCTTTTAGTTTTAAACATCTTCGATAATAATCGACGTGTCCTGCCCATGGACTATCATGATAAGCATATAATAGTTGTTGAATCATTGAAGATGGTATATATATTAGTCTTTGTGTGAACATGCCATGATTAATTGTTTTGTATAATATGTCGTTCTCTAAAATATAAAGGTAATGTAATGGATTTTTATTAAGTTCTAGAATTTTTTCCTGACATAACTTATCTTCTTTTTGAGCTTCGACAATTTTTGTAATATCAGAATCATGACTTCCTTCTTGTTGAGATGAATCATCTATTAATAGTACATGATTTGAAGAATTATCACTGCTATTTGATGGTATTTGATGTGCTTGTGCTTTGGCTTGAGCTCGAGTTGTAACAGCACTAATAAAAGATGAAGCAACTAAGTCGTAGTTGTTTATTGGTTTCTTATCTACATCATTTTCTATTGCTAGTAGAATACCAAAATCAGAATCTAAAAATGCATCGTCATGTTCCAATTGGCGAGAATAACGAGTTAAATAATCTGTCATACAATTACATTTACCTGAATCATGACGCGGTTCTTGTATATTATATTGTTGTAAGACTAATGATTATACGATCAACACGACGATTATTCGATGGCTTTTTGTGCATATCACGTAATGGACAATTATCAGTTGCGACTATAAATTCACGACCTAATAAATATAATTTCATACGTGTAGCACAATAAGATATAGTCAATGCTTCTTTCTCAATCATAGGTCATCTTTTTGGTAATTTTGGTAACATTTGGGAATAAAAATAAATGTTTTTACGTTCACCATTAATTTCTTAATATAATATACACCCAATACAATAATCTGATGCATCAGTTGATAAAATAAGTGGTTCATTCGGATCAGGATAATTTAAAAATAATGGTTCCGATGCAATAGCCACCTTTAATTGATTAAAAGCTTCTTGTTGTGGAGTATCCCATCTAAATTTATTTGTATTTTGTTGAGTTAAATTTGTAACGGCTAATAGTGGTGCAGCTATTTTCGTACAAAGTTTAATAAATTTTCTATACCAACCAATAGCACTAATAAAAGCATTAGCTTGATTTAAGGATGTTGGTTGTGGAATATTTAATATTTTGTTTATTCGTTCTGGAAGTGGTTTAACGCCTTGTATACTAATTGTATGACCTAAATAACCAATTTGGTTTTGAACTAATTCACATTTTTGTGGATTTAGTTGAAATGTGTGTTTGTTAAGAATGGCTAATACTTGATTTAAATGATCAGCATATTGTTTAAATGAATTTGAATAAATTAATACATCATCCAAATAAACGAGACAAATTTTTTTACATGGTTATAATAAATTTGACATAATTCGTTGAAGAGATGGAGAACTATTTTTGAGACCTTGTGCTAAAACATTAAATGCATAAAGTCCATGGACTGTAATAAATGCCGTTTTATGTTTATCTTCTTCACGAATAGGTATTTGAAAATATCCCGAATGAAGATCTAATTTTGTATAATATTGATGACCATCAACCATTTGTATAGCTTGTTCGATATTAGGTAATGGATAATTATCTTGGATTGTAATTATATTTAGTTTTCGATAATTAACAATAAATCGATAAGAACCACCACGTTTTTTAATTAATGATATAGGTGCTGAATATTGAGAATATGATGCACGAATTTGTTTATGTTTTAACATTTCTTGAAGAATATCAAAAGTTGCATTTTGTTTTTCAATTGTTTGTGGATAAGACCTAGATGTTATTAGTGGATTATCACCTGTACAAATAATATGAGATGTTGATGTTTCAGCAATTGTTGTTATATCAAATAAAAAGTTATGCTTCTTTAAAATAATCGTTAAATCATTTAATTGTTGTAGATCTTGTATATGTTTTAATAAACTATGGATATTGTGTTGACTATTATTGGTTATTTAATAGAAATTAATGAATGTGAAATTATTAAACCTTGTGTATTTGAAAGACGATAAGCAGGAGAAAATAACAATTGACCAAAAGATTTTTCTACAATAATTTTTATTCGTCATTCTTGGCATGGATTTAAGTATGTAAATTGTGCTAAACGACATAATGTTTTTAATTTTATTGTTTGATATTCCATTGGTAATGTAATTTGTTCTGTGGATGTATGAACTTGAACTTGTTTGAAATTGTTATCAAGATTAACTTTATACTTATTAATATAATCCATTCCTAAGATACAATCAGTACACAATGAATTAACTACACCAACAACTATATTTGTTTTTACATTATTTAATTCAATAAAAATTTTTACTGTACCAATAATTTCGAATATTGTACGACCATCAGCCATTATATATTTCATGTTATTGAATTTGATTGGTAAATGATTTGTATATGTTAATGTTGTTTTATTAGTAAAAGATGTTGTTGTGCCAGAATCAAACATGACTTTCATTGGAATGTGATTAATCTTGACAAAAAGAAAAATAGGGGATGGGTTTTCTATTGATTTAAACGAATCGCCGACCAATGGTCGGCGATTTCTCTATTGAAAATGTAGACAATTTCTAATGTAATGATAGATTCCACCACATTTATAACATTGATATGGTGGCTTTGGTATTGTAGTTTTAAATTGAACTTGAGTTGTTGTCGCGGTGTTGGACCTTTGATTTGACTTAGAATAGTTATAATTTGGCTTACTTTGTGCAACATTAGAATTTGATTGTCGAGGTGTAAATGATCGATTGATTTATTACGGTTTGTTGTTTGTATTGGTTGAATTAGTTGTTGGTGAAGTTGTAAGCTGTTGTTTATCGAAACATGTTAATGCATCTCGTTTATCTTCTAACGATTTCAATTCTTCAATCTTTTGCGCATATTCTAAAAATTCTACAGTAGTTTGTTGATTTTTTCATAATACATCAAAACGCAATGAAGATTTTAAATCATCCTTCAAATATTGAAATTTACTGGCATCATTCATTACTGGATTTGCTTCTTTACATAATTTCATAATGTCAAAATAATATTGTCGTACGTCTTGATTTATACTTTGTTCATAATGACGTAATCAATTAAAAGAAACATCAACTTTTCCTGAAGATTCAAATGTTTTTAATAATTTTTGTGTAAAGATGGACCACGTTGGACACAAGTGAGGATTATCATAAAACCAATCTCGTGAATCGGCTTCCAAACATAAACATACATAAAAAAGTCATTCATCATTTTAACATATACGAGTTAGACGTCTTTTTTCTCTATTCTCCCTCCTCTCTTCTCTGTACTTTTCACGTACATATACATATACATATATGTACACGTGCATTTTTGTGATCTCTGAAAGCATTTTTTTTGGCAATTAACTAAGGTGCTAAAGATAAATAAAAATGAATACGAATATAATTAAAAATCAACAATTAAATCAGAATCGTAGAAATTCAACAAACAATGGAATTGCACAACGTCATATGCATTTTTATAACAATAATCGGATGTCTCAAATGAATACACAAGAGTCACCATCAACATTTAAAAGACATCTAACTAATCACAGTACATTTGGTGATGATGCTAGATACGTCAGTAATAAAAGACAACGACAAAATAGCCAAGAAAATGTTGAAGAATTTCATGATAATGAAGAACGTATCGAAGAATGGTTTGAATCGAATATGCATCATGGTATTATGTCGAATGTTAATCATGCTGACAACGATCGTAGCCAAACTCTCATATCCAAACAAGCAGTTAATTATGTAACCGACTGTCACTTTCCACCGATCAAAATCGTATACACGCCTTAAATTCAATATCAAAATGGAGCTCGTTTTGTTCAAACACTCATCAAACACATAGAAAAGAAATTCAAGAACGAAAACCCAAAATGCGAAAAACTTTTAGCTTTTGACGCATGGTGGGTTAATGCAGATGGTGATATCATGGTGTTAACAAAATGTATTGAAATATTTATTTATTTATGTATTTTATAGAATTATCCGCACGAAATTAATAATATAAAAAACGAGCCACTATTGCCAAAATATTTACCACCATCATACTCCATATTGATTAAAATTGTTCACAATCACATTTCAATTGATGAAATTCGTCAGGAAGTAAAAGAGAAATATAATTCACAATATTCATGCAACAAATTAATTGGAACGAAAACAAATCGGACGAGGCATGTTAGGGTTGACTTTACTGATCGAAATGACTATGACACCACACTCAATATTGGACAAATATCTTTTTTTAGTCAACTTTACTCAGTAAATGAATTTCTCGAAGCTCCAAAATTACTTATCTGTTCCAAATGTAACTCTCCGGGGCACATGAAAAAGGAATGTCAACTTAATTATGATCGATGTCGTCGTTGTGGATGTGACCGGAAAACCGATCATCATTTCGAATGTGCAATTAAATGTCATCATTGCAATGGTGAACATTTATCCACGGATTATAAATGCCCAACTGTAGCTGATTATCGATGTGAACTTGTAAAAGAACTAAAACGTCATCCTGAACGTTTGCCTGAACATGTTCAACTATTTATACCAGCTAAATGTCGAGATAGGAATGACCGTTCACATGTTATTACAAATTATCGAAAAAACGAACAAAAAATAGATCAATAGTTAATTCAACATTTAATATGAATGCCCATTCTTGGCCTCAACTTAATCCTATATTAGTTCACATACAGTTATAAATGAATCGCTAATAGCGCAAAAACTTGATGAAGAAATTAAATTGACTCGAGAAAATTTCAACAGAGAATTAAACAAGCTGAACATGAAATACGAAAAACAAATAAATGTTTTTCGAGATCGATGGTATTTAGTTGCTCAACAAATTAAAACACAAAATGAAATGATTAATAGCATGTCAGCTACAACTCTGTTATGTATTATGCCAATGGGAATAGACCTACTTAGAACTACATATGAAGCTATCAAATCACTTGACAACAACGAACAAAACGAAGAGACAAACGACAAACTAAAGGATTCAGCTGAACAATTACGATTACAGATGAATAAGTTTTCTGAACACCACCATATACTGCTACAGTATCAAGAGAAAATGTCTTTATTAATGGATAAACAAACAGCATCTTTAAGTGAAGCAATCGACATATTAACACATATAAATGAATAATCAAAGAGCAAGATACGCTGATCCATACCTCGAAAATGCAAACATCGATAATTATCAAGGTAGCGTAAAAGAAAAAAAGATTCTTAAAGAAATGTGGAAAGAGTGGAACAGTAGAATATCTGACTTTGACATATGCAAACAGTGGCGGAAAGAGAGGCCGACTACAGAATATGAAGCTTTAAACGTACTTCTTTTTAATATTCAAGGCTTAAGTACTCATATTGCTGACCTTGATTGTTTCATAGCGACATATACTCCTGAAATTTGTATTTTAACAGGTGTCGGTTCAAGAATAAAAAATCCTGCCCAGATACCTTTTTATAATTGGATTTGTCAGGATGGAACTAACTCTTTTGGTGGTGTTGCTATGATTATTCATAATTCACTGAAAACAAAAATAGTTTTACAAGCACCAAACTTTATTTTAATCGAATTAACAATTCTTTCTGAGTCTGTACTAATTGGTGCTATTTATATCCCACCAAGCAGTGGTATTCCATTTAACTTACTCGAAACGCATGAATCCAAAAACTTTTATATATTCGGTGATTATAATTCCAAACATGCACAATGGATGTGTAATACAAACAATGCAAGTGAAAATGCATTGAAATGCTGGCTCGATGAAAAAGGATATCAACTAATCGCACTGATTAAACCAACATCAAAAATATCAGATGCAGTTATCAATTTTGCGATTACCAATGATGCTGCAAGGTGGCGATCGGAAACAATAATAGAAGGAACATCAGATCATTATCCCGTGTACTGTGAAGTTTCATTCTCAGTATCTGAAAAGGGATACTTCAAGCAGACAAATTGGAACCTTTACCATTTTTTCCTACAAAATATGTACGAATGTCTAAACGTTGTGGTGTACAATTTGGATGCTGAGGAGTTCTTTTATCTATTTTCTCTCCTACTTTCCTCATTATCTAATCGTGCAAGTGAATTTTTACCGGTTACAAAATACAGATCTTCATGGCCGTCATATCTAGTCGCACTGACAAAGAAACAAAATAAGCTACGAACAAAATTTCGAAAAACTAGAGTGTGAAAAGATCTAGAAGAATATCTTTTTTGGAAAAATCTATATACAAACGAAAATTGTTTATACCAACAAAAACAAAGAGAAAATCAATTATCTTGGATTTCTCAAGGAAATAATATCTGAAAATTAGTACGTCCAGTCTTCCCTCCATTTTCACCCCCATTGAGTGGACTTACGACAAATAAAGGTATAATAAACGATCCTCAAACGATTGTTGATACTTTGGCGGATCATTATGAAAAACACTTCGAATCTCCAATGCACGATTCTGGAATATTGGCACATGTAGAAGCACTAGAAGCATACACGAACATTTCATATCTGCCAAATCTTCCTCTGGAACAATTCTCAATAGAAGAAGTACAATCATCTTTGAAACGTGCACAAAATAAAAAATCGACTGATTGTGATGGAATATCGGCCTTTCATTTGAAACAAATGCCCGACGAGTTTATGTATATAATAACCATTGGATTTAATAAAATGGCTGAAACAGGAACCTATTTGAAACGTAGCAAACACGCTAAAGTAATATGCATATCGAAAGAAGGAATGTATCCTTCAGTAAGCAAATTGAGACCCATTTCTCTTTTATCAATTATTGGCAAATGATTCGAAAAAATTATAAATAAACGAATTTTGAAATGGTGTAAAGAAAAGGGTATTTATGTAGATGAACAGTCCGGTTTTACTACTGAAAGAAGACTTAAAACAAGAATCTTAACTCTCGTTGAAGATCTTCGTTTAACTGTGGCAGCCTGCAATCGACCGGCACTCGTCATCTTTGTGGATTTTCTAAGTGCCTTCGACCGGATTTGGAATCCGATGCTTATTAGAAATCTTATTAAACTGTATTGTCCACTTTCAATAATACGATGGATTTTTTCATGGTTACAAGAACGAACCCTGTCTATTCACTATGGAAATACTGTATCTCGCCGTATAAAACTTTTCGTTGGAACCCCGCAAGGTTCAGTACTTGCGGCAACTTTATTTCTTCTACATGTCCACTACTTTCCTCAATATTTTATGAAGATGACAACCCACCTTTTTGCAGACGATCTTTCCATCACTATAATAGGATTATTAGAGAAGAAATTTTCTCATAATATTGCAGAGCTTGAAGTGCAGGCCAGCATCGCAATGGACATTCTATCAAAGTACTCATACGATTATATTTTACCAGTAAATATTGATAAAACCAAGGCACTTTTGGTTCACAGTGTAGTGACACCACAATATCCGGTTATTACATATAGAAGCACTAAAATTAAATTCGTGAAAAAATTCAAATATTTGGGTGTTCAAATCACGACCAAACTAGGTTGGAGTGATTATATTTCTCATCGAATTAGACGGATAAGAAATATCTATAATGCATTGCATATTCTCTTTTATCGAATCCCACTATCACATATAAAATTACGCAGGATTCTATTGTTTGCATTCGCACTACCTCACTTCGCTTGGTTGTACTCGTGTTGGTTCTTTTATACCGAAATCCAATAACAATGTATCGAACATGTATATTGTTCTGGGTTGAGAATAATCTATAATCTACATAAATGGGATGATACAACAGTATATATATTAAGTAAAGAATTAACATTACATGACTATCTATACAAATACTGGTAGAAGTTCAATGCACATCTCGATAAAGCTCATCAAGCAACACAATTTCAACAAATTTTGACAGCTTATATAATAGCAAAATCACCCGATAAGAGCTGGTACCATCAGATGGGTCTAAGAAAAAATAATAAGTTTCTGAAATGACTAACTGAAAGAGCAAAACATACCAAAATTGATCTAGCTGATTTTTTTTCTATACAGAAAGAACAATATGGATACTTTAAATGTTCATCCAATTTCATCCACATGTTTGCATATAAATACTATATATTACCACCCAAAAATATGTATGCATGTGAAACGTATCGGGATAACATAATTTATTTTAGGAAAGTTTTATTTGTTACTTATAATTCTAAACGAAATGCCTCCATGTTCATGGCCATTCTCCCTCTCTTTTTTTTCAATTTCTCTTCATTCGTCTATTTTACACTTCCTCTTTATTTTTTCTTTTCTAAGTGTGATTTGATGTATATGTAAGAATGTTTCGTTTTGTCAACCCTAAATGGGACAATAAAGATACATGTTAAAAAAAGATACATAAAAACGTTTTTCATCATCTGTTAATTTAAACATATTCATTGTTTGTCGAATTTCTCGTAGGGTGGGTGTGGGTGTGGGCATGGATCTTCATTTACTACACACCCACACCCTTTTTATTAGTCTTTCGATAAAGTTTATCGAGAAAAAGTGTTCGATGTTGGGATTATAATTGATAGAAAATATAATTATGGAACGAAATATTAATCAATGAGCACTTATCCATCATAAAAATAAGCCATTAACGTTTTTTGTGGATATCGTCAAGTAGAGTTCCTTTTATGAAAGTCTCAATACCATATTTTCGCGGCAACGGGTTATTTCCACCAATGACCGTAAATCTGACAATTGCTGTCGTAACCAACTGATCAATTCATCTTCTCTTGAGTTTTGCTCTTCAGCATCATCTTCTGCTAGATATTGCATATCTTGTTTAGCATCGTCACATTCCACAAATAACAATCGTAGATTATGCATTGTTTTAACTAGATAACATATTGATATTCGATTTTTCACATGAATGTGAAGTTGTTCACATTGCATAACAAGAGGTGAATTACTAAATCTTACACATTGTTCCTCATCGTATGATACGCAGTTTCTCTGCAGATCGAGACGTTTTAACGAGCCATTTTTGATTTCTAATAATAGGTTTTCCGTAGAAGTCCCATTGCAGGATCCCGAAAATTCTAAGGTTGATAGACGCGATGCACGAGAGAGTAAATGTTCAAGTTGATTTTTACATTCTTCATTATTGTCACACGATTCTATTTTGCATGAAGTTAAATAGTCGAATGTCGGAATCATTGACCAGAAATAATCGTTGACAGGAAATCTTATTTCCAATGATTCTAGTTTGTAAAAGCGAATATTAGATAGCCGGGAGCATTGCTTAGGCTTAACAAGATATTTTAAATGACATACAGCGTCGTATGACTGTTGGTTGTTCTCTTGAGGACAAGTTGATTTACCGGTCATAGGATTGGAAATATGAAACGAGTTAAAAGCATATGATAAAGTATAAAGAAGAAGAATGTTCTCAGTTAGACTCCAATCACATCGAACAAACCAACCATGCTCATCAAGCCAAAATCTAGTTTGATATGTATTGAGTAACTGGTCAACATATTCTTCGGTTGATATATTGCTTATCATGTAGCGTGTCATTTTAAAACGGAATATTTTTAGTTTGGGCAAAAGATTAGAAATAATTCGTTCCCAATCATGTTGTAAAATGTAAAAATCACAGTCCAATTTCAATTGATACAAATTGGGCATGCATCGTAATACGACACTTAAATCAAATAGACAAGCTTCTAACGACAACTTGAAAGATGTTATTGATAGAGCAGGTGACATTAGGAATTTTTTAGTGTGAAGACGGAGACAAGGCATCGAGAAATGTTGGAGATTTGGTGTTCTTTCATAAATGTGAGTCAAGCTGAGATAGCAATCACTAAGAAGCGATATAGACAGATGTGTAATACTTGATGATGTCACGGTTGGCTTTATAAGACGGTTAAAATCTGTTGGAGATGAATCATTATTGCAAAAATAACAATGAGCGAGCTTTGGTAGACTCCATATAGAATTTATTAAAGTAAGTATTCTTGGCAAATTTGCTAATTCACCCTGTGTCGCAGAACAAGAGTTGAGTTTTAAATGAGTAAGATTGATTAAATGAGGTAATGCTAATATGAGTTTGTCTATTATATGTTTTTTCGAAAAACAACTTAATGAAAGTGATTTTAATTGAACAAACTGATCAAGTGTGAAACCGTAAGAATATAATCGATTAAGTGATCGATAATAACCGACGTTCTCTGACAAGTACAACGAATGTAGTTTATCACTCAAAGTTGCAAGATATTCTCGACAGATTATGACAAAATCATTGGGATGCATTGACCGAAAATCAATACCATAAGTGTTAAAATAATGATAAAGAAGAGAATTAAATCGAGAATTAAGACCATGAAATGCCTGAATAAGATAATCGACATGGATAAATTCGAATAAGTGAAGTAATAATTCATTAGCCAATGATTCGAAACTCATTTTTCATTTACTTCTTTGGTATTTGTCAGAGCAAAATATGTAGGAATGTTGTTTATATACCAAATGTCTAAAAGAAAATTCAATTTTTCATTATCATTCGTATCAGAGATAGAAAAAATTGCCCCGCGCCGCTGCTCACGCCTACGCGCAACGCACACCTCTGTCTCTTTTTGCTCTACCAATCAGTTTCTCAAAGTTCGCCAAACATGGGGACGCTGTAAGCACGAGCTCCTCGAATCTCCGACCAAAGTAACATAGACGTGAGCAGGAGCGCGTGGCGAGTTTTTCCATTTCTGATTCGTATTATCTTCTTCGTAAATCTTCACTTTAATCACAATGGCCTCATCCTCTCGCAAATTGTAATTTCTTCTCTATGAATGAACAATGCCTCTATCATAATGTGACGAACATGTAGCCAGCAAAGACTATTTATCATTGGTTATTGTTGACACAAGTGAAGGATAGACTTTATGACAACTGTGAAGTAAGGGAATTAGTAGGTTCTTACCTTTCATATTATCAATGATTAATATTATTCAGAAAAATAAATGATATGTTTCCGTTCAGGAATCGAGCTATTGAACTATCCACTACCTCTCTTTTCTCTTCTCTTTCTACATTGGCTATTAATATCTTCCTCTATTTTTTCCGTGTTATGTGATGTAATGAGTTGTTGTTGTTTTTTGAGTTAAGTTGTCGTGAACAAGAAAATAGTAAAACAAAAAAGAGAAGAACTTTAGTTAGTCACAATAGACTAACAGCATCATTCATTTTTTGAGTGAAATTAAATCATCGAAAAGTCAAAGGAAGTAAAAAGAATCACTGTTGTATAGTTACATATACTCCTTTCTATTCTATGACCGTTATATTCACTGTCTGATAAGAGGACAATAAAATTCACCATCAACTTCAATTCGTCAACAATAGCTTCGCTGTATACAGGTGCATCATATACATCATGCCGATGTTAAAAATTTCGATGATTTAATATCATTCAGAAAATGAATAATGTATTAGTCGTGCTTTGATAGCTCAATGGTTAGAGAACTGCTCCGGATAACCAGTATTCATATCATGAGTTCGATTCCTGAACGAAGCATATCATTTTTTTTTCTGAATGATAGTAATCATCAAGATTCAAAGGCGTGAGTGTGAATATTCTCTTAACCCACACCCTTTTGCTCTAAGTCAAGAATAACATCTATCATAATTATATTTGTCTTGAAATCAAGCAGATACTCATGTTCTGTCTTCACCATTAGCTGTTGTTGTTGTGTGGTGCGAGTGGAGTCAGTTCATAGTTTTTCACATATTGTTACATTAAAATTTCCTGCTTTGAAATAGGCCTCTTAACAAATGCAGTATAGTTCTAGATAGCATATGTTGTTTCATATCGTTTTATTGCCAGCAATGGGCAACTGATAAGCTAGTCTATACAAAAGAAAAGAGTACTTTGATTTTTATAAGTACAAAATTAAAAGCTTAAATAAAGGAAAAGTATACTATTTTTGTATCTTTTGTTATTCATGGATCTGGAAGAAGCACAAGACAACTAGGGATGCAACGGTGACGATCAATGATCGCTTCGCCGTCACCGTTTTACCGCTCCAAAACGGTGAACGACCAGATCGATCATCCGGTGAAACGATGCCCCGTTACACCGATCAACCGGTGAAACGATGCCCCGTTATACCGATCAACCGGTGATACGATCCCCGGTTACACCCATCAACCGGTAAAACGATCCCCGGTTACAGCGATCAACCGGTGAAACGATCCCAGGTTACACCCATCAACCGATGAAACGATCCCCGGTTACACCGATCAACCGGTGAAACGATCCCCGGTGAAACGATCAACCGGTGAAACGATCCCCGGTTACACCGATCAACCGGTGAAACGATNAAAATTCGAAAGTATAGCTTTGCTGCCAATGTAGGCGTACTATAGAGAAAATTCACTAAGAGCTCGATATCTCCTCAGAAACAAGCCAGAAACCCGAACTTTTTTTACCATAGACATAGCACACTATGGGCTACAAGATGCGCGAAACCCCGATTGAAAAGCACTCCCGCACCTTGGAAGGTTCCCTAGTAAGTGTCGCAAAAATGAAATGGAAAAAGGTAGTTTTTTTTGTTCGAGGGGAAATGTCGGATAAGGAAAGAAACTTTCGTTAAAACTTCCTGTGGTCCTCAGATAGATGTTATATTCAAAACCTTGTTAGTTAACTGTTTTGTAACAACGGCACTTCAGTTAAAACAATTGTCGATGCAGAAACTAAAGTAGGATTCGTAAATTTATGGATAGTTTCCCATCAATGCTGTGCATCGATAGAAAAATGTTCATAACTTTACGAATCCTATTTTAGTTTCTGCATCGGCAATTTTTTTACCTGAAGTGTCGTTGTTTCAAAACAGTTAACTAACAAGGTTTTGAATATAACATCTATCTGAGGACCACAGGAAGTTTTAACGAAAGTTTCTTTCTTTATCTGACATTCGACTAGTCCATTCTTGGATCCGAGATTTGCCTAGGCGAATCTGAGATTGGACGCTGACATATATGTTCGTTGCACTGTATTCAGCGACCGATACTTATAGATATGTAAAGAAATAAAATAGAAGTGGGATTAAGATGCATACTCATGCTGTTGTTTTTCATTAAATACTTGAATGACATTAGTTAATTCTATGTCATATCTTTTCTTAAGCTAGATTCTCAAACAGCAACAGTGCAGTGCCGTTAATAGTAGCTCAATATAATTGATCTATTTTACAAAGGATGAACAAACTCTTTCTTTTTAATTTACATCAATTTTACATTGATGTTTTTCGGGAGGGTGTGGGTGTGAATGTGGTTGTGGGTTTGGGTGTGGGCTGTGGCGTGTGTGGTTAGGTTCAGAAGTAATAGTTGCAGACCCACACACTCTCAACTATTTTATTTTATTATCTTATAGCTGTCATCTTATGTTTGAATCGAGTTGAAGGAAAGACAAAAGTATCATTTGAAGCAGTGTTTCTAATAGAAATCTATAGTAAAAAGTCAAATGATATTTTATTTTTGCCATCAAAGTGCAAAATGACACTCTGTTCATTGAAACAAAGTGTCACAAGGGTATGGGTGGGTGTGAATGGGGACAGATGAACACCCACCCACCCTCATCCCATCTCACCCTGAAGATAAATACTTTTCGTGCCTATCGTTTCTTTCTAATGAAGACATATCCACTGTATTATACTCTCACATATCTTATATGATAAAGTATTTATAGTCGTTAAGAAAAATATTTTCTCTACAAGTATGGAGTATTATTCAAGCGTGAAATAAACGAGTCATCATTCAAATCAAACCAACACAATCAATAAAGGATAACAACAGAAAAAAAATGAATCCACGTACAAAGTTTTTATATAAAATACACTTTGAAATACACATCTGATAAACGAATATTAACTTTTGTGCATGATTATTAATTATAATAAAGATAAAGAGATTATTCATAATTATGTGAATCAAGACAATAAAAGCACTTGTTGTCCATACGCATTTTTTTAATAAAAATGAACAACTTTTAAATAGAACTTTGAATCGATATTCGGACTGAGCATATTTCAATGTATATGTGTTCATAGATAGATCAATTCAAGAAGGTAAAGAAAAACTAGCAAATAGAAGTTAAAACACTAAAAAATATGTTTGTTCTTACAATATGAGTGAGTACTGTAGTTTAAATACTATTGACATTTGTCTTGAGACTGATGTGTCTTATCAGTTTTCATACCACTGAAGGTGAATGAGCCGAGAAATCTGTCAAGAGTCATATTGAGTACTCCATAGTTATGTTTAGCCGTACCCAAATGATGTATATAATGAAGGGCGCGCAATTCATGAAACCATTTAAAACGTTCGAGCCAATGATCTTCGACGTGATAGGCATGATGAAGCCAATTTCCAATAAATGCCATGACCATGAACCCGAGAAAGGTGCAACCAACCGTCGAATACGAACAATGAAAAACTAGACGAGCAACAGTCAATTGAATGAATGTTAACAGAATAAGTAAACCTTCATGATCAGAAATCCATGTTTTGTGACGCATATAATCCCACCATGATATTGGTAATGCATTAACATTACCTTCAGAAGTATTCATTTGATCAATCTGTCGCTTTCGTGCACCGTAAAAATCCTTTGGTGGATAAATTTCCCAATGATGTTCTTTATGTTTCTTATAACAACCGTCATTAAATGGTATCCACCAAATTGTATGATGAGCTTGCCAATGCCACAAGTAAAAAGCAATATATTCCACAAAATAGAATAAAAGCATTGTATACCAACAACATTCTGTCACGTATGAAACGATGAACGAGTAGATAATAAGTGCTGCATACATATACCGAAGAATTGAATAGGCCGATACCCCTAAAACACTTGCATCATTTTCTACGTTGATCGATGGTTCGCCAGTGGGTACAGGTAATTTCACAACATCAGCATCAATTGGTGTTCGATCATAGTTAATCGTAGATTGTCGAACGAGAGGTCGTGTCAGATTTGATGAACGACTACCTGACAAAAGAAAATGTCATCAAAACATTTTTTCGAAATGTTACTCTAAGCGAATAAAACTATTCCTAGAACAATTTAATCTATTCGATAGAGATTAATTCAATAAATAATAACTCATTAATTATAACAGTTTCTCAAATTCGTTTTCTGAATTTCGTCATATTCTTTCAATAACTTTGGTTTTAGCTATTTTTTAGTAATCAGTCGATTCTTCGTTTATTTTAATTCTATACTTTTACTGAAATAATCATCGGATGTATAACTTACTCATGTTATTTTCCGAATCGATTAAACCATCCATCACTTGCTCTCTCCAAGCAGAAGTCGTCGTAATACTGATTTCTGAATCTTTTATATTTTGATCCATGTAACACTTTTCTTCGTCTCAAATGAAAGAAATTTTCTTTGTGGGTACGAAGAACACCTATGCGAAGGCTATTTTGTTAATGTATCAAATGATGAATGTGTACGATTGGCATTTTTCATTTTCTAATGGCACATTAAGTGTTTACTTGCATTAAAGTCTGCATAATGCATTCAAGACTTAATTTTGCGCATCACGAAACTTGTCAAAACATTATAGAACGAAACAAACTCCATTTGTATTAAGTAGATTCATCGCTTCTCGTTCTCCATATTGGTTATACAGGTGAATCATGTTTAACGAGAATCGGTGTGATCCGCCAAATGCCCAAAGAATTTCGACGACAACTTTCTAAGTCGTTTCTATTTATTTGTGACTAGATTTGTCAATAGAAATGAAAACATGAAAAGAAAAATTCGATTAGGATTCAATTTAAAATACTAGTTTAATCATAGTTCCTTTAGTTAAAAACAATATGACATAATGACACAATAAATAAAATAGAACCAACTACATAAACAAATTGAATGCCATTTGTTATTGAGACACCGATTTAATACTAGCAGAGGATATTGACAATATAAACGAAGAACAACGCAATGAATGTTTAAAATCTTGTTTCTCTCATCCGATTGTTAACTCAACTAAGTAACTTTATTTTTGTCAAATATTTATTTTATTTCAACTGTTACTTCTGTGAACTATCATATAGAATCCATAATAACAAAAGTTTACAACTCTGTCTGTTCTTTTTTCGCTTCGAAATCAAAGTAAAAGTTAGAATCTTTTATTTCAAATAAATTTTATCCTCAAATCGTACTAAAACTATTAGACATTTGTTAATTATAAATTTTTCTAAGTTTTATTTACATGATTAGTTTTTACCGTTATTCAAATTGAGTAACGTTACTGGAACTTTCACATTAGACTCGATGACCGTCCAGTTGATAGATATATCTACTTATGTAAAACAATTATTCATCGTACATATATTTAAGATGAAGAATTAACTTTTTATTATCAATGATAAATCTATTGATAAAAATATTTTAATTGTTTCAATTTATTAAAGTTTCTATTGATTAAAAACGATACAATGAATTTACTAGATATTATGGCAAGGGTGAATATTTTTTATATAAAATAAATCATTCGTTTGTTTTCTTTAAAGTTAAGTTTTATTATTTTTAATAAAAATCAATCGTTGCAAAATTCAATATTTAGTAATAGGACGATTATGATTATTTCATTTTTTAATATAAGAGTTTATCACATACGCTGTTTTTCGTTTACTCTATATAAAAATTGAAGTACAATTGGAATTTCTAATGCATCTCACAAACCTGTGTTTTAGTTAATTTTGAATGGAAGATCGGATACATTACAAAAAGTATTATCAAAAATCTACTCACATATTTTGTGAAAAAACGAAAATAATTTTAACCGTAAATATATGTCGTTTGTGACATGACATAAATACGATCCTAAATCTAAATATGGAAAGCACCATCGATTCTACAACTAGATTCTCTTTGAAGGATCATACATTAGAAAACAATATCCGACTTTTTTCTCACAACTTACTATGAAAGTGTGCAAATTAAAGAATTCATTGAGGATGTTTTTATGGCAGATAAGAGAAAAATTACAATAAATCGAATGAAAGTAGCCACATGTAACAACAAACAGAAAGAGTAGCTTTACCGCCACCATCGGTAATGATATTTATTGACCACTTCGTATCTCCAAATTGTGACTACGTCACATATAACACAAGCTCATATGGAATAGACAAAGAATGAGAAGAATGAGCAAATGACGATATCACCAAGGGGGTCATATCATTATCAGCGCACCATACATATATCAAGCAGGTAGGTGGATACTGACGAAATGAAATGTAACCATCGAGAGTAAGTTGTGTAACTAAAGTCATGAAAAAGAAAATCATGTCTCAGGCAACACATGGTTAATAAAAACATCAGAAGATAAAGGTAAACATCGATTCAATGTTTCTTTTTTATGAAGTGTGTTTTCACGATAGTTTTTCAGTTGGATGGATAGAAATATATTTTCGATAAGGGGAGAGGGGGCATGTTTGGAACCTTCAGCACCTTTTCATACTGAAACTTAGTAGTGGTGCTCATAGAGTTGAGAAAAAACATAGAAATTGAGGTGATATCCGGGTGAAAACGTGCAGGCCGATTTCCGCCAGAAAATTCTGGAAAATGGTCGAAAGTTGGAAATAGGAATGCAATGCCCGGATCTGGTTGTTAGGGTCCTTGCCCACCTTTACTTTTATTACACCACCACAACTGTTAGTAAACAAACATATATATGTATATATCTTAGAGAAGGAGGAACGAGAACAAAGTGAAGGATCGTCCATCTATATCATAGATGGCGATCCTGACACCTCCCCCCACACACAGAAAAAACGTAACAACAGAAACGAAAAACAATGATAATAAAAATAGAAAAAAAACAAACAAGAGCGTATAACTATAAACAATAATGAGTATATAATCAAATAACAAGAAACAAACTTAATAAACAAAGTATGAACGAGAGAGAGAAGAAAAAAAATAAATAAACAACATAAAAAAGTTAAACTTGCTGTTTACGAAATGGTAACAATAGATATCTATCATGACAACAAATAACTAGACCTATAAGTGAACAAACATAATGGTCAACAATGTCCACTGGACAGAAAAGAAAAAAAACACGACAAATAATAATATAGAAAGAAAAATGAAATTGATGAAAAACGATGAAACAAAATAACAAATGGTTTGACTTGAAATGTTAATAAATCTATAACTAATATAGTTGTAAACGTATAAATGAATCAGATCAAATAATATAGTAGTAATAACATATAAGTAAATATGTTAAGAGACATATAATGAAATAATATAAATAATATAAACGAAGAATAATAGAGCACCAAGAATAAATACGTAAATAACAAACTAGAAATAAGTAAATAAACAATAATAATAATAACCAAAAACCAAAAGTTGAATATGTAAATAAAATAAATCACATAAGTAAATAAACAACAATAATAGAATGCACTAATCTCTTGATAAGTGGACAAATCAATGGACAAATGACGAAATGCATGTGTTATACTTATCGACGATAAACAAATGAAAATAATAGATGACGTAACATAAGATGTACTACATTGAACAATATAATTCATTGGCCAATTGTTATTCCCTATATCGTACATATAATTGTGTACAGAATTATATATATATTTATATTTTTTTTTTTTTACTAATAAATTAATACGATTTGTATATGTGATGAATGTGAATGTATATATATATATATATCAACGATTTAAGTAAATGTATAAACTATTTTATAAATAAAATAATTAATTATATTTTGATATAGATGTTAAGAAAACTTGTGCATATATAAATACATGTTACTGTAATATGGTTGATGGTGTTATTTTAATTTAACATAATATTTTGTTTTATCATATTGTTGTTCTATCATGATAAATTGTTTGATTGTATTATTTGTTTTAACATATTGGTTTATTATTTGTTTATTGTATATAAGATTTTTCTGTTTTTTTTTGTTTATTGATTAATGATTCACGTGTAGGAAATTAAATATAAATATATGTAGATGTTATTTATATTTATGTGTATATATATATATATATTTTTTTTTTTTTACATATAGTTATATAGATATGAATGTATATTGATATATGTGTATTGACATGTAGTTATAGAAATATTTAAGACTTACTAATGATGAAGATGACAAGTTCGTAATTGAGAAACGTGTACTTGATGTGTTTGATGATTTTTTGGATCTTGTATCCAATAAGTTGGGTGTTCACTTTTAACAATAATCATTGGACCAGTATAAAGTTCAGATAATTTCGACGGTGTAATAGAAATACGTTTAAGTACTTGATCACCAGCATGATAAAATGTGTTAGAACGATTACGATCATAATAATTTTTATAAATTTGTTGGCCTTTATGTATATGTTGTTTTGCAGACTGGTGATAGAGTTGTAAGGTTTTTTGTAAATGATAAAAATAATCATTTGGTTTTGAAAACTGGTAAGTTGATGATGGTTTGTCTGGTGGTAGTTTAGGTTGACGTCCAAATTGTAACTGATATGGAGAATATTTCGTTGTTGCATGTTGACCAGTATTATAAGCAAATACAATTGATTTTAAATGTACATCCCAATCATTAATATATTTATTAGTTAATTTTGCCAATTGTCGTTCAAATGTTGAATTAAATCTTTCAATGACACCATTTGTTTGGGGATGATAAGGAGTTGATTTAATATGATGACAACCTAAAATTTGTGTAAATGCTATCATTAATTGATTGATAAAATGAGGACCTTGATCTGACAGAATAGTAATTGGTACACCATAAATACACATATAATGTTCATATAAAGCTTCAGCTGTTGTTTGAGCAGTTTGATTTGGAAGTGGAATTGCAATAACCCATTTTGTGAAGTAATCCGTGATAGCTAATACATATTTATTTCCTTGAGGTGTGATTGGGAACGGGCCGGAATAATCAATTCCTATTAATTGAAAAGGACCTTGAGGGGGTTCAATAGGATGCAATAAGCCAGTAGGTTTTTTACGATCAATATTAAATTTTTGACATAACATACAACCTTGTATATAATTTTGAATAGTACTCTTCATCTTCGGCCACCAATACTTATCTTTTAATTTCGAATATGTTCGACGATAACTAAAATGTCCGGCCCAAGGACTATCATGATAGGCTTTTAATAATTGTTGAACCATTGCTGATGGAACATAAATTAATTTTTGTTGAAATATACCACGATTAATTATTTTATACAATATGTCATTTTCTAATACATATGAGCAATTGGTTTCATTTTTATTTATTTCTAATAATTTTTCTTGATATAGTTTATCATCTTTTTGGGTTTTGGCGATAATAGAAACATCAAACGCATGACCAACCACTTTCTGCGATTGATCATCTGTTGATGATGTTGTTACAGAAGTAGGATTAGTATCAATTAATTTTTGTGGATTAGTTTGTGCTTTTGCTTGAGCACGAGTGGTGACAGCACTAATAAGATTTGGAATAATTAAATTGTTGTTGTTTAATTGTGGTTTATTTTTTTCATTTTCTATTGCGGGTATAATACCAAAATCAGGGTCAAGAAAATCATCATCATCTTCCGTTTGACGAGGATACCTAGTTAAATAATCAGCAATACAATTACATTTACCTGATACATGACGAATTTCTTTAATATTGTATTGTTGTAGTACTAATGATATACGATCAACACGACGATTATTTGATGGTTTTAAATGCATATCACGTAATGGACAATGATCCGTTTGAACAATAAATTCACGACCTTGTAAATATAATTTCATACGTGTAACACAATAATAGATAGCCAATGCTTCTTTTTCAATTGTTGGCCATTTTCGTTGTAATTTTGGTAACATTTGAGAATAAAAATAAATATTTTTTCTTTCATCATTAATTTCTTGATATAGAACACCACCAATGCAATAATCTGATGCATCAGTTGCTAACATGAGAGGTGTACTTGGATCAGGATATGTTAAAAATAATGGTTCAGATGTAATAGCTGTTTTTAATTGAGTAAAAGCTTCTTTTTGTGGTATGTCCCATTTAAATTTATATTTATTTTGTTTAGTTAAGTTTGTAACTGCTAATATTGGTGCAGCTAATTTTGCATAATCTTTAATAAATTTACGATACCACCCAATGGCACCTATAAAAGCATTTGCTTGATGTAATGTTGTTGGTTGTGGAATAGCTAAAATTTTTTCAATACGTTCTTGTAATGGTTTAATACCTTGAATACTAATTGTATGACCTAAATAATCAATGCTTGTTTTTACAAATTCACATTTTTGTGGATTGAGTTGAAATTTATGTTTGTTGAGAATGGCTAATACTTGATTTAAATGGTCTATGTGTTGTATAAATGAATCAGAATAAATTAATATATCATCCAAATAAACTAAACTAAATTTTTTGCATGGTAATAATAAATTTGACATGATTCGTTGAAATGATGGTGGACTGTTTTTTAAACCTTGTGCTAAAACGTTGAATTCGTAAAGTCCATGAACAGTAATAAAAGCCGTCTTGTGTTTATCTTCTTCACGAATAGGTATTTGAAAATACCCTGAACGAAGATCTAATTTTGTATAATATTGATGACCACCAACCATTTGTATAGCTTGTTCAAGATTAGGCAATGGATAATTATCTTGAATAGTTATATTATTTAATTTACGGTAATCAACAATAAATCGATATGAGCCATCACGTTTTTTAATTAATAGAACAGGTGCTGAGTATTGAGAATGTGACTCACGAACTTGTTTATGTTTTAACATTTGTTGAATAATATCAAAGGTTGCATTTTGTTTATCAATAGTTTGTGGGTACGGTCGAGATGTTGTTGGTGGATTGTTACCAGTACAAATAACATGAGGTGTTGATGTTTCAGCAATAGTTGTTTTTGATGTATCAAATAAGGATGAATGCTTGTCTAAAACAGTCTTTAATTCAGTCAATTGTTGTTGATGTTTTATATGTGTAATTAAGGAATCAATATGTGATTTGCCAAGTGAATTTAATGAATTGGGTTTATCATCATCAAAGTTATTGTTTGTATGTGGATCAAAAACAGTAGAAACATTATTAGATGATAAAGGTGTAACACTACCTATAATAATATTTTTATTTAAATAACAAGGCTTAGCTGTTGGATTATAAACAGAAATAAAAGCTGTGTGATTTTTTATAGAAATTAACGAATGTGGTATAATTAAACCTCGTATGTGAGTAATATGATAAGCAGGAGAAAATAATAATTGCCCAAAAGATACTTGTGAAATAATTTTTAATTGTTTTTCTTCATATGGATGTAAATATTCAGATTTTTTCGTACGACAAATAATTCGAATTTTTTCAGATTGATCTTCCATTGGTATTGTAATTTTTTGTGAGGCTGTATAAACTTGAACTTGTTTTTGTTTATTATTAAGATTAACTTTATATTTGTTAATATAGTCCATACCTAGAATACAATCTGTACATAAAGAGTTAACAACACCAACTAGTATGTTAGTTTTTATATGATTCATTTCAATAAAAATTCTTACTGTACCAATAACTTCAAATGGTGTATGACCATCTGCCATGACATAATGCTGTTGATTAAAATGAATTGGTAAATGTTGTGTACGTTTTAATGCTATTTGATTAATGAAAGATTTTGTTGATCCCGAATCAAACATAATTCTCATATAAATTTGATTGATTTTTGCATTAATAAAAATTGGTGATGGATTTTGTATAGAGTTGCAGGAATCGCCACCACCTTGCGGCGATTCCTCTATTGAAAATGTGGGCAATTATGAATATAATGATCATTTGCACCACACTTGTAACATTGATATGGTGGTTTAGGTATTGTATTGTTATATGGAACTTGATTGGGTGTTGTATTGTTGAATATTCGTTTCGGATTAGTGTTGTTATAATTTGGTTTGTAATAGACGTTATTGTGATTTGGTTGCCGAGGTATAGATGGTTGATTAATTTGTTGCGGCTTGTTATTTATGTTATTTGAATTAATTGTTGGCGGTTTTGTGAACTTTTGTTGATCCAAACATGTTAGTACATCTTGTTTAGCATCTAATGATTTCAATTCTTCAATCATTTGAGCATATTCTAAAAATTCTTCTGGATTTTTTGGATTTTTTAATAGTACATCAAAACGTAATGAAGGTTTTAAACCATCTTTTAAATATTGTAATTTACTAACATCGTCCATAATTGGATTAGCTTCTTTACATAATTTCATAACTTCAAAATAATAGTGGCGTACATCTTGATTAATACCTTGCTCATAATGTCGTAAACGATTAAATGCAATACCACCTTTTCCTGAAGATTCAAATGTTTTTAATAAATTTTGTGTAAATATGGACCACGTTGAACATAAACGAGGATTATCATAAAACCAATCTCGTGCATCTGCTTCTAAACATAAAGATACATAAAAAAGTTTTTCATCATCGGTTAATTTAAACATGTTCATTGTTTGTTGAATTTCTCGTAACNGCTAATGCTTCTTTTTCTATAGTTGGCCATTTTCTTTGTAATTTTGGTAACATTTGTGAATGAAAATAAATATTTTTTCGTTCACCATTAATTTCTTGATATAAAACACCACCAATAGAGTAATCTGATGCATCTGTTGATAATATAAGTGTTGCATCAGGATCTGGATAATTTAAAAATAATGGTTCATTAATAAGAATATTTTTTAATTGATTAAATGCTTCACGTTGTGGTGTATCCCATGTAAATTTATATTTGTTTTTCGTAATTAAATTTGTAACAGCTAATATTGGTGCGGCTATTTTCGCATAGTCTTGTATATACTTCCTATACCAGCCAATTGCACCTATAAATGCATTTGCTTGTTTTAAAGATGTTGGTTGTGGAATAGATAAAATTTTTTCAATTCGATCTTGAAGTGGTTTTGTACCTTCGGAACAAATTGTATGACCTAAATAATTGATACTTGTTCGAATTAATTCACATTTTTGTGGATTCAATTGGAATTTATGCTTGTTAAGGATTGTTAATACTTGATGAAGATGTTGGAGATGTTGATCGAATGTGTTGGAATAAATTAGTATATCATCAAGATAAATAAAACAAAATTTTTTGCACGGTAATAATAAATCCGACATAATTCTTTGAAATGACGGAGGACTGTTCTTCAACCCTTGCGCCAATACATTAAATTCAAAGAGTCCATGTATCGTAATAAAGGCTGTTTTGTGTCGATCTTCTGGACGAATTGGTATCTGGAAATATCCTGATCGTAAATCTAATTTTGTATAAAATCTTTGACCACCAACTTGTTCGAGTGCGTGTTCAAGATTTGGTAATGGATAATTATCTGGAATAGTTATATTATTTAATTTCCTATAATCAATAATAAATCTATATGAACCATCACGTTTTTTAATTAATAATACAGGTGCAGAATATTGAGAATGTGATGCACGAATTTGTTTATTTTTTAACATTTGTTGGAGAATATTAAACATTGCATTTTGTTTTTCATTTGTTTGAGGATATGGTCGAGATGTAGTTGGAGGAGTATCAGGAGTACAAATAACATGAGGCTTTGTTGTTTCCGCAATAGTTGTTGTTGTTGTATCAAAAAGTTGATGATGTCTTGTTAGAATATCTTGTGCTCTAAGAAATTCTTGTTGATCTTGTAAATGTATCAGTGAATTTGTTATATTTTGTTCACTAGTTGATGTTAAAGGTGTTGTATTAACTTCATGTATTGTATCTTTTGCTTTTGTATCTAAAATGGTAGAAATATAAGCAACAGTTGAAGATGGTACAGCAGTTCCAATAATAATATTTGATTTCAAATAACACGATGATGATGTTGGATTATAAACAGAAATCCATGCCCTATGATTTATAATTGATATAAATGCATGTGGACTAATTAAATTTTTGTAATGAGTAAGATGATACGCAGGAGAGAATAATAATTGTCCCGATGATACTTGTGTACCTATTTGAATTTTCTTCTCTTGATATGGATAAATGCACGTAGAACTAATTAATCGACATAATATTTTAACATTATCAATTTGATTCTCCATAGGAATTGTAACCATATTTTTCAATGTGTGTATTTGAATTTGTTTATCTTTTGAATTAAGGTTTACTTTGTATTTATTAATATAATCCATTCCTAAAATACAATCTGTACATAATGAACTAACAACTCCTACCAGAATACTTGTTTTAATTCCACCAAATTCGATAAATATTGTGACAAAACCTATTGCTTCAAATGATGTATACCCATCTGCCATTAAATAACGTTGTGGATTAGTATTAATAGGTAAATGTTTTGTTCGTTTTAATGCAGCTTTACTAATAAAAGAAGTTGTTGCTCCAGAATCAAACATAATTTTCATTGAAACTTGATTAACATTAGAAAAAATAAAAATTGGTGATGGATTATTACTAAATATAGAGGAGACATTACCATCATTCAATGGCCCCTCTCTTGAAAATATGGACAATTTCGAATGTAATGATCACCTGCACCACATCTATAACATTGATAAGGTGGTTTAGGTACTGCTGTGTAATATTCATTTGTTGTTGTTGGAGCAGTTGTTGGTTCTCGACCGGAATTATTATTGTTGTTAAATTGAGTATTTTTATATGAATTATTAAAGTTTAGTTGGTGAGATGAAATTGGTTGGTGAACTTGTGATGAATTAATATTCATGGTCTTCAACTTTAATGTTAATGGATCTGGAGATTTATGATTGACAGCTTGATCGATCATACTATCTTTTTCATCTAATGATTTAAGCTCTTCCACTTTCTGAGCATATTCTAAAAATTCTTCAGTTGTTTGTGGATTTTTTAATAAAACATCAAAACGTAATGATGGTTTTAAACCATCTTTTAAATATTGTAATTTACTAGCATCATCCATTAAAGCATTAGCTTCTTTACATAACTTCATAATTTCAAAATAATATTGTCTAACATCTTGAGTTAAACCTTGTTGATAATGACGTAATCGATGAAATGAAATATCAGCTTTTCCGGATGATTCAAATGTATTAATTAATTTTTGTACAAATGATGTCCATGTTTTGAACAAATGCATATTATCAAAAAACCAGTCTCGTGCATCAGCTTCTAGGCAAGTAGATATAAAAAATAATTTTTCTTCATCAGTTAGTTGTAATGTATGCATTGTTTGGTGAGTTTCTCGTAACCATTTTGACACATTCTGTTTTGATTTTCCTGAAAATTTCTGTAATTTTTCTAAGCTAGTAATCAACATTTGATTTCGAAGAGGTTCTACGATAATTTCTTTAAAATCACTCATTATTTCTTGTTTCAATTGTTTTGAAGATGATCCAAATGATGGTGACTGTGCTGGTCGATAAATTTTGTTTTCATATTGATAAAGTAAATTTTGAACGAAAGAATTAAATGTTGGCATGTGATGATGTTGTTTAAAATACCAAATAAGTGCTTCACTAGTTAAAATATCAGGAATTAACTTGTTTCGTTCATTTGATGATAATTGACAAGAGTCAAATATCTCAAGAATTTGTGTTAACCATTGTTCAACATCACCTTGACCATTAAATTTTTTTATTGAACTTAATTGAGCTTCAACTGTAGTTGATTTTTGTTTACCTGTATAATCTTTTGGCTGATCATTTAAATCATGACCAGTCAACTCATTTAATTTCCCATTACTAACTGAATTAATATTGTTCATGACCATTGTTGTTTCTTCTAAATTTATTTCATCATCTTCGTCATTTCTCATAGAATCACCTTTTAATTTTTCATTTTTAATGGTTAAACCTGAACCGTCAATAGTCATGTGTGTAAAATCTGTATTACTTCGAGTTGCTTTATTGCTCATAAATTAAACTTTTGCTCGCCACGCGGGACTTGTATCAAGAATAACAATGATAATAATACTTGAAATGATAGTAAGACCACCGGCTAGTGCACCATTTGTTAGGTTCCTTTCCGTTTTTATTTTCAATAATGAAGAAAACCTAAACAAGTGAAAATACACAAAAAATAACAAAAACAAACAACTAGAACACGACCGCACTCTGGTCTAAAAAAACAACAACTAGGAGGGAGAGAGGGAGAGAGAGAAAAACACACACACATAGTTCACTACGAAGAACAACAAAACAACCAACATGTATATATATGTTGGCCTGAAGGATCGTCATCTATATATAGATGGCAGATCCTGACAGTCAGAAACATCTGGTGTTCGTGATTCGATGCAGTTTCATTTTCTCTTTTAAATCGTGAAAACCGAAGATCTCTATCTAGTTCCTATCAAAAGTTATTCGAAAAAATACTCACCCATCTGTTAATTTGAAATGAATATTAAAATCATGCGAGATCAACTACTTCCACACCTGTTCCTTAAAGTACGAGTGTACCTGTTAGTATGAGTCTTCAATTAAACGGCACCTACCCTCTGATGAGAATACAGCCAAAATATCGGGCCATCGAATTGTCTTTAGACCATTTTCTGTCATTGAGTAGTTTCGTTTGTGGGAGAATATGCACTCTTTACCTATTCCACTGTTCCATGGATTCAATTTTATCCATTGCGTGAACCGTTAATTGTGTCGAAATCTTACTCAAATAATGTAAATTTAGTGTTGAAATACTCGCTAACTCGAGATCTTTCATATCAAATATAAGTTGATTCGATTGGTTACAGAAAAATGCTCAGTATACTTAATCAACTTCTGATGTGCCTTTTTCCTTTATATTGAGTTTATTTTTGAAAACCAGAACATTGCTGTAAATTTATTTAAACTAGTGTGCTAGTGTTCTCTCTCGATTAAAGATGGCAAAATGTTAAACAATTAAATGACATCCAAGAGTACGAATGTAAATGACAAAAAAAATTGAATTTCACTAGAAAAGAATAAAAAAAGTGAGCTACGATGAGAATATCATGTTAACTAGCGAATGTGTAAAAAGTAAAATTGATATTTCAAAACTGTACATGAAATACCATACAAATACTTGCGGATTTTTATTTTCAGATTTCGCACTGATCTCAATTTAATTTTAATTTTGAAGATGAACACTTCCACGATGTCCTCAAATGGCCAAGAAAAGAACGATTCATCGAAAAACGACTCGTCTGTTAGCGATTATTCGCACAGGAGGCTCGAATCGAGCAATCATCAGGATCCAGCAGGTGAGAAAAGTGTACTCTATCACCTCATTTTGAATACCTTTTTTCGTATTATCAGGACCTTCTTCCGTTCTTTCAGGCCACTCCAATGAATCGCACGAGTCAAATCAGAGTGATGCGCAGAGTGTCACGAATGAAGCAACAACTGGGAAAGACAACAGCTTGAATACGGTAAGTTATTGATTTTTCTACATAAGGTGGGCAAAATTAATTGCGCATATTTTTCATCAACAGTTTCTATCATAAATACAAAGAAAAGCTAAAAAGAACAACGTTCGGACATGAAAGAATATTTATTGTTCTATATGGTTATAAGCTGTATTATTATGTTGACAATTATTTCGAAACGATGAAGCTCTTTTTGAACGGCTTAAAATTTTTTTCCGTGACTTTATGCTGATCTTTTGACCTCTGTGCAAGTTTTCACTTTGAAATTTTCCAAAAATGCCTAATCTCTGAAAACTATAGGAATTGTGAAAAGAATGAACGGAATTTCTTACAAAAACATTCAAAAGCCTTTCGAATTTATTTCTGTCCAATCAGATAAGAATTCTGAAAAAATGCACTTCACAGGCATAAACATTATTCTGTTTGGATGCTTAAATGTGCGTTTGGTGAAGCGATTCCAAAAATCGCTAATAAGAGTGAATGATGAGCGGTGTTAGAGCTATTTTTTATCCCTCATTAGTTTTGCATAAAAACTATTTAGACACAAGAAATCAATCATGTAGAACACAATGTGTGGTTCAGTTTTGTGAAATTCGCCTAAACGTTATTGCCCATCCTTCAGAGATGGAACTGGTACCAGTACAGATTTCAGACCGGCCGATCTGCCGGTAGACCGGTAAACGGCCGGTAACCGGTAGACTGGCCGGTAACCTTTCTATCTTTTTTCCTTTCCTTAGTTTATTATGTATAAATATTCAAATTTCTTGTTTGTAAAGGTATAAAATGGTTTATAGATGGTTTTTTTTTCTAGTATAAACGAATAATTGATCGATTAACCGGTTGTAAATTGACTATTCGGTACCAATAGACCGACCGGTTTGGTCTGAACTTTTCAGACCGGTACCGGTCGTCAAAAATTCAGACCGGTTCCATCTCTGCCACCCTTAATGAGACTCATCCTAAAGTGTTAACCGACAATATTTTTGCTCCAGATTGTTGGAATAACCACAACACTCTATGTCGGATTTGACAGTGATTACTAATATGTTCTTAATATTTGACAAAAATGAAATTTCACACCATTAAACTGATTGTTGCCGTGAGGCTTATATATCGAGAGACACTTACTGTTGATAGTCAGTTATTATTAGGAACAGATCCGCGACAATCAAACATAGGTTTTTATGCGTAAAAAAAAGATGATTTATCTAATGGATATAAAATGATGATCACTAAAGCTAAAATTCAGCCATATTTGGGCTCTAGACCGACAGCACTTGAGAAAATTGGTGGCTTCTTGCATATTGACACCTCTTCTGCTCCATGATTCGCTTTTGGTCCAATGCCTTTTATATATATTTTAATGTATTTTTTACGCTGATTCTAAAATTGAGTCTCAAGTTGATTAAAAGAATGTACAAAATACTCATTTTGCAGCCAAAACACAGAAAAACTCGACTTTCTGACTGCATTTGCTTGATTATAGCTTCAGAAAAACTTCCAATTGCAATTTAAATATCATATGTGAAATCAGCATAAAAAATACATCTGACAACATATTGTATATAATTATATAAAAGTTTTTTTATTGAAAATTTTCCCTAGGGTCCCCAACCGATAGTGAAAAAATTGAATGCTTCCAAATTACTTTGAAGACTTTTAGCTATGTTCAAACAATTGAAAATGAGAGAAAATCATGAATTTAATGTATACGCAGCGATTATCACGAGTTTGCAACCGTTCAATTTTTCGTCATCGGCCTGGGACCCAGGCGAAAATTTCAATAAAAACGTTTTTGTATAATTATATACAATATGTTGTCAGATGTATTTTTTATGCTGATTTCAAATATCATGTTTAAATTGCAATTGGCATTTTTTCTGAAGGTATAATCAAGTAAATGCGGTCAGAAAGCCAAGTTTTTCTGTATTTTGGCTGCACCATGAGTATTTTGTAGTCGTTTCATTTTGAGGATGTGGGCGTTTGGGTTGGTGTATTTAATTTTAATACACATCCTATCCACATCCAGCCACACCCACACACATTCACACCCATTCCCATAAGCTTTCACCTATTTATATATTAAAATCAACTTTTGATTATGTAATTTGTTCATACATTGTTGAATAAGAAGTTTAACCAATAAGCACTGAGAATAAATTGAACTTTTCTTAATATTTGCAAAGCAAATAAAAGGATAGAAGGACGGCAAGACTTCATTTTTAACATACTTTCTGCTACGATAATTTATAGAAAATGTTGTCAGACTTTATTGTATTTGATTATTCACAGGTGAATTCTTCAGTTGAAGACTTAAATCAATTTAAGCAGAAGAAGTTACAAGACGATACGGTAGTCGAACCATTTGGAATGGTATTAAAGCAAATTCGTATATTCAAATACAAGCAATTTGACTCATCGGAACAAGAAGAATATATTTTTGATCTCGCTTGCCCCTTAACAACATTAGTTGGCCCAAACAGTTCTGGAAAAACAACTTTATTGGAAATAGTGCGAATCTTTTGTCTCGCTGTGGAGTGCGGAAGCAGATGTATTGCATTATACATCCTAACTGAATACAAGAAATGGGGAATCGATCCAACATGGGTATCTAAAAATTTTCATGTACGGCTACAAGGTATTTTCGATGTTCAGTATCGAAACCAAAACCAAGATATTGTAAGTTCAAGTTTAATGCTGAATGTATCGTTAAAAAAAAATGTCAGTTGTAAAAAAGGAACATCGTTTATTAGTTATGAAGGCGAGGAAACTGAATTTACAAAAGCTGGAGAATCAGGACATGTTCATATTCGTGTTACTATACAGCCGAGAGATACACTTATTGTTTCATGGGAAACAATCGAAGGCAGCTGCCAAGAAAACCCTGGATCTTTCTTGCTCTATGCAAGTGATTATGGTGTATTAAAAAAATTGTTCCCACAGGTTATACCATTCAACAATAGTAGTGTATCTGATGTGGATTTAAAAGAGTTAACTTCAAGATATCCAAACGTGAGCGATCAACACGAAGAAATCACTACTGAAATGAAACGTATATTTCCTTTTTTTCGATTGTCTAAATATTTTTATGCAACGATGGAAAACAATGAGGAAGAAGCTCAAAGGAAAGAGTGTGCATTCAAAGGGAAAATACGGCAGTACTCATCGTCGAAAAAGCGTAACGTCACAGTAGTGTTTGAGAATGGCATCCATTGTGGTGATGGTTTATGTCGATGCTTATATATCATTATAACAATATGTTGCGCAAAATTGAATTCAATAATCACAATTGATGAACCGGATGCTCATGTATTTCCTACTGCACAAAAGCTATTAATCGAGTTTTTTTATCGTAAAATGACACAATTTCTTAACTCAAACCACTTCTGCCAACTGATCATTACTACACATTCACCCGATATCATGCAAGCAGTTAGGTTGGAGGATATTCGACAAATATTTCTAGATTATGAAAATTATAGGCACATTGCAATTAAACCACTAGCTCTCACCGGTCAGTTGTTAAATGCAATGAGTGATGTGGGAACATCCATTTTCAGTCACGGTGAAATTGTTCGTTTCGGTGTTCATCGAAAACTTTTATACTTGGAAGATCATGATGATTATCATTTCTTACATGGAATAGTAAATCGATCTCAACCAAAATTATTACATCTTCCATTTACAAGAATGGCTAAAGGTGGGCGAACCACACCGCCTCAGATTAAAGAATTAATACGTCTACTTCGGCAATTCTTACCGAAGGAAGCTACAATTCATATTTTTGTGCTTGTTGATGCAGATCTTCGACAGAAAAGCATTCTAGATAAAGAAAAAGAAATATACGCTACGACAGAGGAGTGGAACCAGTTAAATGTCAAAATTTACTATCATTGTTGGGCAGCTCGTGAATGGGAAAATTGGTTACTTATTAATGAATCTTTTCTTTATGAAATATTATGTAACGATGCGATAAAGGATGAAGAACAAGCGATTAAACGGCTGCGAAATCAAATACAACAGTATTATCCAAATGAGTCGATTTTTTCTACATCTGACTCACTTCAACACAGTCAGCCTATAACAACTTCTGCCACTACTTCAAGCAGCCATCCACAACATCATAGCGATAACAATGCATTTGAAGACTGGTTTAAGAAAGAACTTAGTCGTCATTTCCAAAAATTATTAAAAACATTAACAGCACCCATGATGGAAGGTATCAACAAAATCAGTAGCGAAAATGAAAAGCAGTTACAATGTGATTTGTGTAACAAATTTTTAAACAAGGCAGGCATAAGTGATGATATGATGAACAGATTTGATCATCTTCGTAAACGAGTTGAACAATTTATTGGTTATCAGCTACAACAAGAAAGCCCAGACTATAAAAATAAGAAAGAAGAAATCAAAAGACAGCAAAGAGCCAATGCAAGTACAACAGATAAAGAAACAGAAGGGCAAAAGAAAGACAACGTTAGTAAATCAGATGAAGAAGAAAACACTCGTCGTCAATGGCTAAGTGATCGAAAATTACCGGAAACAGCAGAAATGATTGAAAGTCTGTCTACACTAGAAAGAAAAGAAGTAACAAAATGGATTGATGCCAAACTATTCTTTCATCAATTGACACATGATAAAGATAATGAAATAGGCACAGATCTCGATGATTATTGGAAAAAAGCATTTTCATTAGAAACATCCACCGAAAACAAATATGATAGATATTTTACATATCTCGATCCACAAAACTCAGACCAATGGCCCGAAGATTTTAATACTTTACTTGAAATATTCCAAAAATTTATAGAAGCTCCATAATAACCAAATTATACTTTATGTTCTCTCTCTGTAACTGCATGTGTCTCAGTCTGAGTTTTATTATGCTGGTGAGTTGAATTTTTTGTGTATGCACGATCACAAATACATCATAATAATAATCTTTATATAGCAACAAAATACAATTTTCACATCAGCAATTGATTCATCTATTTGTCTTTGCTTTCTATTTGTTTTAATAATAACAACCATGAGATAAAAACATCAATATAAATATTTTTGTTGAATTTTCCGTCTTTTTTATACGACCATCTTCAAAACGACGAATAATACATGTAATACCCAGGCAGACAAAACTTTCGAAAAACGCGTTTAAACGCACAATCGGGAACCGCGACTGTGATCCATTCACGCTCATTAAAAAAACGGAAGAAACGACGTTTTTTGTACAAAATAGTCACTTTTCAAGCGTGAAAACGGTGGAAAACTTAAATTTCTAGTGTTAAAACGTTCTCTTTTTCTAGATTTAAAAAATGACGTGTTTAAACGCCCAGTTTTTTATATTTTTGCCGTTTTCACGCTTGAAAATTGACTATTTTGCACAAAAAACGTCGTTTCTTGCGTTTTTTTAGTGAGCGTGAATGGATCACAGTCGCGGTTCCCGATTGTGCGTTTAAACGCGTTTTTTGAAATTTTTGTCTGCTTGGGTATCTTTGAAAAACATGTAAAAGAATGCATGAAAATGACCTGCCATCTAACTGAAATTTTGATTTTGACCTTTGATATAGATCGAAGAGCTTGGGATCTATAGTTCAAGATACAATGCAAATAGTTCTATTATTACATTCTAAGGTTGAACAAATGGAATCATGTATTTTCATGCACAAATCATAGGAGGTTTTGCTGGTTTTTTACTAAGTTTTCACACATTTTACCATAATAACTCGACATTTCGATGAAAATTTAATGAAAAGTAAGAAAGCGCATTTTATCTTAAACTATAGATCTCAAGTCCCTCTATCTAAATCAAAGGTCAAAATCAAAATATCAGTTAGATGGCAGGCCATTTTCATGCATTCTTTTACATGTTTTTCGAAAATGATTAGTTTTAAAAGGATTTCGTCTTAAACATGATCGAGAAAAAAGATATTCCAACTTCTTCTCTGTCAATTGGTGAAAACCGCAGGTCGCTAACTATTGCCATTATTGAAATATTGCGTTTACATCCACCCCTCTTTCATTCTGGCGCGAACATTAGTTTATTGTCGAATTTAAAATATTTACCTAAATCTAGTAATAAGAAGAGAAAGTGAATTTTGTTCTTTTTTATCATTACATCTTTAAACAAAGGGTAGTGAAATTCAATCTTTTTTAAATTGATAACTTACTCTCTAATAAATTTTTCTTCTTTTTCTTCATATAAAAGACGAATAATTTGATAAGCATTAAATTCATTTTTTGAAATGGAGAATACAAGACAAGCAGGTCTTTGTTCACCATGAGTTTTGATGGCTCTGTTTTCTGCATGTCTTAAAGCATCAATGAAATCATTTGCTGTGTAAAATCCGAATCCAAAATCACCTGGACGTGATCCTGTTGTAACTAAACGAATACCACGTGCTATAATCGATTGAGCATGAATTTCCGTAGTTCCATGATAAAAAAACATCTGTTCATCAATTGTTTTATCTTTAAATATTATCATTGAATTTTGAAGATCTTTTTCATTTGAATCATTCAAGTAATCATCGATAAAATACACTTTTAAATGACGCATATGAGATAATTCACCATCACGTACTGATTGACAAACTTGATCAGTCCATTGGTTTTTATGTGAAGTATCAAATGGAGTTATGGGGTATTGTCGTTTATTTTCTAATCGATCAATGATTGAATATCGAATTAAGTTAATAACACCATACCCATGATCATCATTCCATTGTTCAGCTTCTTGAAGGATACTATCAGTATAATAAATTAAAATTTCTTCATCTTTAAGTTGTTCAATAAATGTAATTAAATTCGGTTCTTCATGATCTTCAATATCAAATTGTTTCTTCCATTCAACATATATTGGTAACATAAGATTTAATTTAAGACCAAGTGAATCAACAAAATCAGCATCCATCTCATCCAGTTCTAAAAATAAATATTAGTAAAAAATACGTATGAAAAAATAGTAGTAGAGTCAAATTCTTCTTGCTGACAATAGGGATTTATTTCATTGTTCTAATTCGCTTAGTTATAAAGGAAATAAATATTGACGTTGACCACTGTAGTTGTGAACATGGTCATTATGGTTTTCGCTTGAATACTGATCGCAAGCGAATGGAAGCAAAAAATGTTTGTACTTGCTCATAATTATTGCCATATGCTCCTTAACGACGACTCTTTGTTACAAGCCTCTATAAATTAATAAAGGATGCAAACTATTACAAAAGAGTCGACGAAAAAGAAGATAATAATGATGATGATGGGATCAATATAGTAGCAAACGATAATATTGAATAACTTTTATTAAACACCAAAACTAGGAAGAGCATTTTTGGACTTGCTAATTAGTGGACCTGTGACAGTTCTCGATCAGGAGATTCGACTGATGTCCGTGTTCACCACTCAGTTCTTTTGAAAAGAACTAGGTTCATTGACCAATTCTTTTTTTAAGAACTAGGTCCAGTAATCCGTTCTTTTGTAAATGACGGGTTAANTGCTCGTGTGATGAAATGGGTGGAAGGTGCAAAACAAGGCACTGTCGTGGCTGGTGGTCAAGTAGAAGGAAATGGTCTTACACAATTGTATTATCCTCAAGGAGTCGTTGTCGATCAATTGGGCACTGTCTATGTGGCTGATGCAGGGAATGATCGCATCATGCGTTGGCCCAAAGGAGCCACACAGGGAAGTGTCATTGTTGGTGGAAACGGTAGAGGAGAACAATCGAACCAACTCAATGGACCCATCGGTTTGTCATTCGATGGACACGGCAATCTCTATGTCGTCGAGTACGGAAATCATCGAGTACTAAAATTCAACACCCATTAAAATCTTAGCAGATGTTGCCAGTAGATCTTCGTGAAATTGCTTTTCTCTCTGAGAACGATCGATCAAATGAACTATTGTGTGGATGTGGGCGTAGAATACGTGTATTTGAATGGATGCGGGTTCTTGAAGCGTACAGGTGGGTGTAGGTATCAAGTGTTAGTTGTAAGTTTGTGTCTGTGTGAACACGGGTGTTGATATATGTCGCTGACGAGGGAACATTCCCAACTGTTGGAGCGCTTTCGAGTCGGGATTTAGCGCACTTTGTAGACCTCGGGAAACCATGTTTACCATAGAAAGCCTCCATGTTTTTGGCTTCTTTCTAGGTGATTAAACCCTTTTAGGGAATTTGCCTTATAGGAACGGAAATTTATAGAAGAAACATATTTTCGAATTGTCATCTGAAACTTCTATCACTTAAAGATATCATCGATAGTTGCTTGGATAAACAATTTCAGTACTTTTGACCTGCATTTCTCTGAAATATGAAACTTTGAATGTATCATCTGCTTTCGATAGATAATGCACAGAGAATGTATTTTTTGGGAACTTCATATTTCGAATAGACGTATCCCAAAAGTTGAGAAATTTTTAATGCAAAATAATCTTGATGGTATCTTTATGCGGTCAAAGTTTCAGATGACAATTCGAAAATATGGTTCTTGTGGAAATTTCGGCTCCTATAACGAAAATTTCCTAAAAGCGTTCCATGACACAGAAAGAAGCAAACGGCATGAAGGCTTCGTATGGTAAACATAGTTCACCAATATCTACAACATGCGTCAAGTCTCGACGCGAAAGTGTTTCAAGTGGTGGAAATGTTTGCCCGTGTGTGTGAGAATGTAACTCAGTATGAGTTCTACTAGAACGAAAAGCTACACCTGTTAGGTTTCTTACGTTTTCTTTATTATATATGTTGATACAACAGGAATCTAAACTGTTCATAACGACATAACAATAACAATGATAACACCAGACCAACTGACTAGTGAGAGACAAGAAGAAGAAGAAAAAGGAGGATTGTCCATCTATATAAGATATATAGATGGCAGATCTTGACACCTCCCCCTCGCACTAAGAAAGATGAATAACAACGAAAAGAACAACTGACAATAGTAATGAATGAGAAGAAAAAAAATAAACAATGCAAAAAAAAACGAAACAAAAAACAAACATATCTGATGGTAACAATTGTTCGTATAACTTTTGATCAGCCCCATGCCATCAGGATCAAACGGTCGGTTCTTAAACCAAGGAATTTTCAGAATATTATAGTAAATTTCGATATCGAAAATCATTTTCATTTTCAATATAATCGTATGTGTTCATGTTGCAATGTTGGCTTCAGCAGGCATTTTAGTTAGCATAGGTTGTTTATGTGCCTTAAATAAATATTGAGTACCAACAAATATAATATCAGTTTCAATAATAGAATTATGGACGTTTTTGCTAAAATTCTCAAAAACTTCAAAATCATGTGAAACAGCTTTAATATCATCAGGGATTGAGTTTTCATCACTTAAAACATTTATTTATTCATCATGAATTGTAATGAAATTAGCCATTATTATTTGAACGGTTGATGCTTCATATGCTTCTTGAGTATTTAAAGATTGTTTTGCATCTTCCGTAATAGTATTTGTCGATGTTACATTTTGTTTTTCGATGTTTAATGGACAAGATCTAAATGCCGTCGATGGATTATCACCAATACAATTTACATGAGGTGTTGATGTTTGAGAAATTGTTATTTTTGGCATACCAAATAACGAATGCTGATTTGCTTAAACAAACTTTGCTTCATTTAATTGTTGTTGATCTTCTATAGGTGTGAGTAAATTATTAGTCTGTTGTTCACATGCTGATGATGAAGAAAATGTTTGATCTTCAACGGTTGTTTCTTTAGAATGTAAATCGATAATAGGAGAAATAAGCATATTGGATAATAATGGTGAAGCAATTCCAACAATAGCGTTTTGATTTAAATAACATCGATTAGGTGTTGAGTTATGAACTGAGATCCAAGCTACATGATTACGAATGGAAATTGATGAATCGCGAATTATTAAACCTTGTTGTTGAATAAGATGATAAGCAGGAGAAAATAACATTTGTCCTGACGATACTTGTAAAACAATTTTAATTTGTCGTTCTTGATAAGGATTTCAATATGTAGCATGTTCTAATCTACATACTATTTTAATTTTATCAACTGGATCTTCCATCGGTAATGGAAATTGATCTGTAGGTGTATAAACTTGAACTTGTTTCTTGTTATTATTAATATTACATTTGTATTTGTTAATGAAATCCATACCTAAAATATAGTCTGCACATAAAGAATTAACAACGCGTACCACTATGGTTGTTGTAATATGATGTAATTCGATAAATTTTTTTATTATGCCAATAACTTGAAATGTTGTACAACCATCTTTCATTAGATAATTAAATTTGTTACGATAGATTGGTAAATGTTTTGTACGATTTAGTGCTGTTATGTCAATAAAAGATTTTGTTGAGCCAGAATCAATCATAATTCTCATATAAACCTGATTAATTTTTGCGAAAATAAATGTTGGTGATGGATTTTTCATTGACTTAATGGAGTCATCACCATCATTCGACGACTCCACTATTGAAAATAAGGACAATGACGAATCAAATGATCATCAGCACCACATTTATAACATCGATATGGTGATTTAGGTATATCATTATGATATTGAGCTTGAGTTGTTGATGCATCAGTAAGAATTTGATTGGCAATGTTGTTGCTATAATTAGTTTTATAATGTACATTATTATCATTTGATTTTCGGGGTAGAAACGGTTGATCAATTTGTTGTGACTTGTTGTTTACATTTCTTGAATTAATTGTTGGTGAATTTGTAAATGCTTCTTCTGTAGAATAGATTGAAACATCTTGTTTTTCATTTAATGACTTAAGTTCTTCAATCTTTTGAGCATATTCTAAAAATTCTTCCGTATTTTGTGGATTTTTTAATAATACATCAAAACATAAAGAAGGTTTTAAAACATCTTTCAAATATTGCAATTTGCTAGCATCATTCATAAAAGGATTAGATTCTTTACATAATTTCATAATTTCAAAATAATATTGTCTCACATCTTGAATAATATCTTGTTCATAATGACGTAAACGATTAAATGAAATATCAACTTTACATGAAGAATCAAATCTTTTTATTAATTTTTGTGTAAAGATTGTCCATGTTAACATTAAATGTTTATTATCATGAAACCAATCTCTTGCGCATTTGCTTCTAAACATAATGATACGTAAAATAATTTTTCATTATCGGTTAATTTAAACATGTTCATTGCTTGTTGAATTTCTTGTAATCATTTAGATACATTTTGTTTTAATTCTCCAGAACATTTTGGTGATTTTTCAAGATTTGTGATTAACATTTGATTTCGTAAACAATCCATAACAGGATTTTGACAATTAGCATTTTCTGATTGCTTCGATGGCCTACATGATGAAATAATTTCTGTTGATGAATTTGTCTTTGGCTCTTGAATATCAAAATGTTGTAAAAATGTCTTCATAAATGTAGTTAATGTTGAACATATCATCTTGTTGTTCAATATACCAAATAAGTGCATCACCAGTTAAAATCTCTGAAATTAATTCATTACGTTCAAGAGATGTAAGTTGTAATAAATCAAATTTTTCCATAATACGTTTTAACCAATGTTTTGGATTACCACATCCATCAAATTTTTGTATTAAATTTAATTGTTGTCGTACTAAAGATTGATATTTTTGATCATTTGCAGCTGATCGTCGATCATCTAAATCATGACCTAGCGACTGAGTTTCTCATTTTTGTTTAAATCAATAGTTGTTTGTGTAAAATCAGTTGTAGACCGAGTTGATTTAATATTCATGAATGTTGTCACTGGTCTGATATTTGCATTGCCTGCCATGCGGAATTTTTTTTGTTTAAAAGCAATACCGGCTAGTGCGCCATTGTTAGGTTCCTTACGTTTTCTTTATTTTATATGTTGATATAACAAGAACCTAAACTGTTCATAACGACATAACAATAACAATAATAATACCAGAACAACTGACTAGAGAGAGAGAAGAAGAAGAAAAAGGAGGATCGTCCATCTATATAAGATATATAAATGGCAGATCCTGAAAACATCTAGTTCCACTCTCATATTCAATATACACAAAACCACTCACATTCAGTTTCTTATACTCCACTTCATTCACAATGATAGTTTATAAAAAACAACACTTCAATCAAAGTACTTCACGAACAAAATACACACAAGATATAAGGATTTCTTGAAGCGTAAATATGTTCACTCTATGGGACAAATTGTTGAGCAGATCTATTTGAAAAAAGAGATTAACATGCAATTCTTTAGACACGATGACTTTTTGATTCGAATGTTTCAATAAGACGTTGCAATTGATATTTTGTGCTGTAAATGACGTATTGTAGGACGATCTAGATTTGGTTATTCTCTAACAAGTATTGAATTTTCAACGAAAACATTCTCGATTGTTTCTTTGATAGAAAGTCGATCCTAAGCATAAGTCTGCATTTCATCGAAAACTCGTTTTCAGTAATATATGAATATGAGCGATGTTGAAATATTGTCTTTTGGGTAGGAGTAGTCTCCATTTGAGCTCGAATCCAAGAACGAAAAAGTTTCAATTTACGAAAGAAATAAAGAAACAGTTCATTATAGGCAGAAAACGTTGTCATCAATAACATTCAACTAAATAAGACGTTTGAAATTAAACAATCGTTCCTTGCAAAGTTCAGAATTTAACAAAAATATTTTTCTTCTTGCACATGAAATTTCTATGAAGAGAAATTCGAAAACGAGCCCAAACTTCGAATGATGTTGATTTTTATAAAAATTCAAATGAACTTTTCACTTTTTTCTCTCTATAGTCTCTGTCTCTCTTTCTCTTCTCTCTTACTTTATCATTTTATCCTCTCCTTTCTCTCTATTTCAGTCCATCCATTACGTGGGAGTTCCATTCACATTCATCCAAATGCTCGATGGCAACAAAATGGTCTCACTGTGGCTGGAGGAAATGGATATGGCAATGGAATAAATCAACTCTACAACCCATGGGGTTTGTATGTGGATGATCATCAAACAATCTATGTTGCTGATACGTCGAATC